AAAGGCTGAGTGTTTTAAAATCAGACTTTCAATCTGTCTCTGCACTTGGTCTCGTATGTTTGAAACTGTCTGTCTAAGCCAGTGATATTAATCCTTTTCAACCTGCGGGCCAAACATATTATTTAAAAAAAGATCAAGAGGCTACAATTAATATTTTAAGCCAGACTCATTGCCTTGTGCCACTCCCTTTGCACTACCCAAGTGGTGCAAAGGAGCAGAAACCACCTGCAAGTTTCCTGTTGGGGATTCCTCTGGAATAAGGGGAGTCTCCAGCAGGTGCAGAGCCAGCATACCCAGCTCCTACACCTCCCCTCCTCACAGCCCTATTTTAGGAGACATATTGAGAGCAGGGTGGGGAAATGGCTATCACAGTGCATTGACTGTCCCCCTGCTGATATGTGGTCCCTGTAGACCTGTAGTCAGGTAGTACAAGTTACAGCATCCCTAGGCTGCTCTAAGCTTTGCTGAGGCAGAAAATCAGGGAGCTGATTCTCAGCTTCTCCTCTTTTCCTCTCCTGGGTATCCCAGGACTTTAAGAATCACATCCTTTTTGAACTGACTTAGCTAGGCTGGGTAAAGCTCTAGTACTGCTAAAATAAAGCTACTGCCTAAGACAGGATCAGTGCTGCTTGCCGTCAAACCTCACAAGTTTACAAAGCGTGTTCAAAAACTGCAATAGACTAACTACCATGCTACGGACCATGGTCCAAGGCCTGGAGCGTGCCTAAAGAGCATACATACAGCTCAAGCTGAGGGTTCAAAGGCAATTTTTTAGTCATCTTTGTGCTCCCCCATTATGGGGCCATTGAGCATTGGGTCATTCCCAGCCACAGCATGGCTGATCTAAATTAGGCTGACTTCCAGAGTCCTGTGGGGGCATTCTGGCAGATAGGGAATGTTGGCCCACATGGATGCCCTAGGCATACCCTGGTTTCCCCAATCACACCCTCCAGGTCAGCAGCTAGGAGGCAGGATGCCGTAGGAGCCACTGTGGTAGTTCTCCATCACCTGAGGATCCTCTTACTTGAGTGGTATCCTCAAGGAGTTGAATCTACTGACTGTTAGGCACTTTGACACTCATAGGTCAGGCTTTGTCCCTATGAGCCTGACTCTCCACTGTCTTGTACCTTGTGTAGCCATTTACTCCTGTTCAGCCATTTATCAGAAGAGAAGCATTTTCCGCTCACTTTACGCAGGTGTAAATGGCTACATAAGATACATGGCAGTGGAGAATTAGCCTCTATGTAGAGAAAAGTGGCTTGTAGCATGGGTTTGGCTAGCTACAGCCATGTCAGAAAATGGTTGTCCAGCATGGTTTGAGATTCATCTCTGAACACAGTAATAAGTAGCACAGTTCAAGACGTAGGACCAGATCTTCAGCTCTGCTAAGGCTACTTTGCATTAGTGCAGTGGCACAAAGCAGCCTTCCACCTGCTCAGCTGTCCAGCAGAGGATTCTCCTTGTTGGGGCCAGTCTACAGATGGCTTTAAACCTGAAATTCCACACCCAGGTGAAGTGACCAATTCACAGCAGCCCCTACTTTATGGCTTGTTTGTTCTGATATTCATATTGCACAGGGAAATCCACAGTTAATCTGAAGGGCTTCTGCATTTTCCTGGTAATCTCTAGACTCTGATGGCTTTTGTTAATGAACAGAAAGAAGCTCTTCAATCTGTATTCTACAGTGAATGTAGCAGAGAAGAAGAGCCTTGGTGGAGAATGTAAAATTATGTACTTGATTTCAGCAAGCGAGCATATGTACATGTGTATTGGAAAGGAGTCCCAGGCAGAAATCTGGATCTGAATGCACCCACACTTCAGGGAAGTTTGGATCTGGCCCATCTGTGACTCAGGCCCATCTGTAGTATGTACATCTGTAGCTAATACATAATGTAGCTATATATGTCTATGTGACATATCAAGGTACAATCCAGACTAATGAGAAGCTGTGTCATCCCTGCCCTCTAACCTGGGACCCTTTACAATGCTTTGCTGCTGTAGCCTCCAGCCTGGATTTCTCACAAACAACCTCCAGTATGCAAGTCAGTCCCAGCTATGTCTGGGTGTGAGCTTCAGCCAGCCACACCTTGGCTCTTACCAGCCTTGGTTATAGTCCGTTATTGCTTTACTAGAAATAATATACACATAATTTTCCACCCTAAATGGAGTTTCCCAGACACTTCCATTTAAACACACTGGATTAGATAAAACAATAAAACACGTTTATTAACTACAAAGAGAGATTTTAAGTGAGTACAAGTAATGAGGCATAAAAGCCAGAAATGGTTACAAAATAAAGATAAGAATTCTACTAGTGTTTAACTTAACAAACTATATTAAATTCAAAGCAAAGTTTTCTCATCGCATGCTTTCAACAGTTTTACTGAGCAAACTCCTTAGGTCAGAACCCCTTTTCCAATCCAACAAATGCTTCCTTCGTTGCTTCTGGTGTCATGAATGCAATAAGCAGGGACGAGGGGTGTCTTGGAGTGTTTATCCCTCCTTTTTGTAGTGTCAGTCCCCCTCTTGAAAGCCATTTCCAGCTGAGATTGAGGAGATAGAGTCTATAGAGAAGGATGTTCCCTGTTGCTTTTTCCTCACCAGTTTGATGACTGTGTTTACTGGTTAAATGCAGATTAAGCAATGCACACATTCCTTTGTTTGAGTCAGCTCTTTTTGCAACCTCAGTTTGGAACATGTGTTAATAACAACATACAGTGGCATCTCATAACTTCACATACAATGTCGCCACACCCAATTTTCAAGACAATAATGACCTGCAAATTATGAGTTTTTAAATGAAACCTCACAAAGATGATTACCAGTAGTGTGTGGGGTGTGGACACAGGGGTATATCCTGTCAGTCTATATCTGTCTATCTTATTTATATAGGGGAGGCAGCAGGGTTCTATGGATAAGATGTTGGACTAGGAGTCAGGAAACCTGGATTCTATTCCTGGTATTGTCACTCACTATGTGGCCTTGGGCAAGCCACAACTTCTCTGTGCATCTGTGAAGTGTGGATAATAATGCCTATCCATTTTTGTAGTGGGCTTTGAAATCCTTTCTAGAAACTCCCACTGAACTCAGAGAAGAGAAAAGCTCCTAATAAACTTTGGTATGACATAATTGATAGGAATATGGCTTTATTAGAACTTTGAATATAAACAAAAGGCATTCAGGTAGAAATAATCTAACTTTCTTAGGTACCCAAGAAATGTACAGGAAGTTAGGATGCTTGCGCTGCTAATAGACTGAAGTGGTAGAGCCCATGTGCGGGGCTTCTTTTAGGAGGTTTATGGTACAGCAGGCACGAAGTGCTGCAAGCTGGGAGACCTCACTGTCTTCCTGAAACCACAATGTCAAGAGGAGACAGGTGTATGTAAGCTTCTTAGCTCTCACCGGATCAGAGGCAGGAGAGAGCAAAATAGCTAAGTATGTTCAGCAGGGATTTCCAGAGAGAGAAATGGTGGCCCAGTGCATTGGCAGGGGGGATTTTTAATACCAACTGCTCATAGCGATCCGTTCAAATAACAATTTGGGGTCCTGTGTTCCACCAGCCTCCACTGAGGTGGCAGGCCAAGTCCGTTTGCACCTGTGAACCCCTGCACCCAGGGGCATTTGGTGCATGGATCAGGTTACTGCATTTTCGCAACCAGTTTGTTCATGCAAATATCTGCACACACAGCTGCAGAGTTTTGCATCAGCATATGGCTGTATTAATGGAGTCAATAGACAAGGTGGTCCTGAGTGTCTTGGGGAATATGCATTAAATAAAGCTGCTTGGCTGTATGGGGCAGGGATTGTCTTTTATTATATGGCTGTATAGCATCTAGCACAATGGGGCCCGACATGATTGAGGCATCTTGGTACTACTGCAGTGTATATATTAAATAAAATATTTAATTGTACATCAAGAAAAGTAATTTCTCTGTGCTTTTGTTTTGCCTGCAGAATGCAGATTTGGTGTAAAAAGCGTTTGAATTAGTATATGTGCAAATCTATGTTTTAGAGAAATAATGGCTGTAGTTTAAGGTGTTGGGAGATCTCTCCCTTTCCTGCAGTGGCAGCTCAGCAAGGCCCTTTGTTTGCAAGGAGGCTCCAGAGAAGATGTTTGTATGTGAGATTTCCAAAATAGTTCTTTAGTCATTTATAATGGGATGGAGGCTAAGGCACGTTCCTGCCCCAAAGATTTTACAATGTAAAGTCCAGTACTCCAGGGAGCTGGAGATCTTCAATGTCAATTGTTTTCAATGAGAGCTGAGCATGCTCAGCTCCTCACAAGGATCTCAGAAAGCCACAGCTGTGGTAGGGTGGGTGGAGAAGGGCTCAGCCCATATAACAGACCCTGGAAACATTATCGCTCCCTAAACTCAGAAATAGCTGGAATACCTCTGGAGAGCACTCACTGGAGTAGCAACTGCAACATCCTTAGAAAGGCTTGTGTGTGTGTGTCCCACCACTTCCCTGGCTTTGGTCTGTCAGCTTGTGCAGGAGGCTAGCTACCTCTGCTGGTAGTGCTCTTTGTTTCTCTAGGTGCTCAGTGAGAATGCAGACTTAAACAGCAGCTGTTCCTTGTACAATGTGTACGGGAGGGCTCTTGGTAGATTCTCCCAACCCTGTGAACCTGTGCAGGGCCTGGACTTACATTAGGCAAAGCACTGAGCAGCAGATCGAGTAGGGCAGGGTCCTGTTTTCCACCTTCAAACCCGTCTCCAGAGTCAAGAGTTATTCTGTATGTTCCGCACAATGCAAGTATTACGGCAAAGGGACCAATGACCAGAGCTGCAGGGATTGTATGTTGCTCTAAAGTTATTGTGAAAAACAGTGAGCAGGCAGCAAGACAAGGCAGGGAAATTCAACCTCGGGGCTATGGTATGGTCTGATATCACTTATTCTTCATGATGATTATTCTCCTGTGGAAGAATCTCCTCATCAGTAGGGTAGGATTTTCTCTGCCAGTTCCTTCATTTGGTGCTTTATTCCCTCCCTCATTTTAGCACATGGAAGATGAAGTCCTATCAAAAGCTGGCAACAGACATCCCCCAGCCTACAGAATCCTATGCTGAAGAAGAGAGCATTGATGGGAAGCCGCCCTACCTTTGGAAGTTGTCCACTTGGTGGTTGGGTGTTGGCCTGCTGCTGATGGTCGCTGGCCTGCTGAGTGGAGTCACCATGTGGGTGCTCAGACAGGCATCTGGGGGCCACTGTGGACAGACACCCCTGGAGAAATGCAGCGTTGTTCCTGAGCCTCTCCGCTTTGACTGCTACCCTGAGAGGAACGTGGTGGTGACGAAAGAGCTCTGTGAGAGCAGGGGGTGCTGCTTTATTGAACGTGACCAGCCTTTGGGGAGCAGGAGTGGAGTGCCCTGGTGCTTTTACCCCCCTGACTTCCCCAGCTACACCCTGGAGAGCCTGAACCAGACTGAGCTGGGAATGGTGGGTTTGCTGAGGAGGAAGGTGAAGGCCTATTATCCCAGAGACATTGAGAGGCTGAAGCTGAGCGTGGAGTTTGAAACAGATACTCGGTTACACATCAAGGTGAGCTGCCTTCTCTGGTGTGTGTGTCCCTTCCCTTCAAGGCCTCCATTCCTAGAAGGGTCCCAGGTAGGGCCTCTCAGTCCGGCTAACTAAATCCCCTGGTCTCTGCAGGCTGACACCAGCCCCTGGCCAGCAATAGAACCCATCTCATGTCTTAGTCTAGGGTCAAGCCAGACATGGCAGCCGTACCCCCTGGCACTAGCTGTTGCTGTCTTCTTGTTGAGTTTAGCTTGCTGTCAGGTTGCCCCTCTGAGCCAATTAAACACTCCTTTGCCTACTGCTTCACTGTTTATAAGGCATGTTTTCCCCCTTTTATAGATCACGGATTCCACAAGCCCTCGATTCGAAGTCCCCCTGGAGGTTCCTCAGGCAATGAAGAGAGCAGAGAATCCCATATACAGCCTGGAGTTCTCCAAGGAGCCTTTTGGCCTGCTGCTGAGGCGCAGAGCCTCTGGCACTGTGCTGTAAGAGTTCCCCCTCCTCTTCTCTCTCTCCAACTTCAGCAGCTGACCCTACCCGTTAGCTCCACCTGTGGGGGCACCACAGAGCTGAGGCTAGGAGGGGGGAAGGAACTGTCTCTCTCCTCTCCTAAGCCCAAGTCTGCCACCTGCTTGGTTTATTCACCTGGGTTTGGGTGGGAAGAACATGAGCTTTGCTGTGTCAGCATGCCCTCTAGGCTGGGGGAGACAGCTGATCTCCCTCTTCCTCCTTCCTCAAGAACCGAGGTTTCAGACACCATGGGGATGGGCACTGCATAAGAACCTAGAGAGGGGCACATCACTTCCTGGGTCTGGGTAGAAAGAATGCAGGGCTGACTCTGGGAACTTGGTCAATGTGGTCATGATGTGGCCATGATGTGGCTTGGCACGGAGAGGAGAAGAGTTTGTCCTTCTGCATTTACAAAGTGCTTGTTTGCATAATGTATTAATGACTTAGTGATTGTCCGGTGCCTTCCAAATGTAAAGCATTGTGTAAGTGCTAAGTGGGATTGTTTTTATGCTGCACACCAGATGGCCTGTGGGGTGCAAATTTGGACTGAGGCCAGATACTCTGGGGAAGAAATCAGTGTGAGGGCTGTAAATCTGGCTCTTTTCTCGCACACACACACACACACTGGATTTGCCAGGGGAAGGGCCAAATGCCGTCCTGGTGTAAGTATGTACAGATCCATTCTGTGACCTGCCCACAGCCTTAAGCATGTGGCCAGTTTTAGCAGGACGGGGCATGTTAGAGAAGAGCTCTTTGCTTTGCTCTCCACCTCAAATGCACCACCCTTTCCTTATTTTACTGTTGCTTAAAACTTTGTGTATTTGCTAAACCGGTCCTCTTCGGAGTAGTTTGCTGGTGGTTAGACAATCAGGAAACCTCACTCCTGTGTTGTTTCTGTAGCTTAGAGAGTTAAATATAATCTCCGAGGAGACTTTCGCACCTTGACTTGAAACCTGATCTCTGGATCAGACTGAGTCATGCTGACCTTTGGGCCAGGTTGTGTCCTGGCTCTGCATTTGGCTGGGTTATGAGAGTTCACTCAAATTGCTGAGCCATGGGATTTGTAACAGAATTTAGGAGTCTGTGCGCCAGGGGTGGAAGGTACCTAGTTTGTGCAGTAGTTCGAGATCCTGGAGGGAAGGTGCCGTGATTGCTATTCGCAGCAGCAGAGGAGCAGGCTGACATTGTTTTAATGATATTTGTCCTCTCTTGCTCCTGCTCTGTCCCTCACCCTGCTTCTTGCCCACTTTTTGTATCTTCTCTCACTCCCCTCCCGCCACTCGTCCAGGTTAAACACAACCGTGGCTCCCTTGATCTTCGCTGACCAGTTTCTCCAGATTTCGACCGTCCTCCCTTCAAAATTCCTCTACGGCCTCGGGGAGCATCGGAGCAGCTTCCTGCACAGCCTGAACTGGACCACCCTGACGCTGTGGGCCCGGGATGTCCCTCCCATGGTACTATGGTCCCCTCGCTGATACGTGCAGGGCCAGAGTCTTGCTATTTCAACTCCGCTGTTGCCCATCAAAGGTTCCCCTCTGGGGAACAGACCCAACCTGCACAGCTGCCTTACATACAAGAACTGTGTTTGCTTCCTTCCATAGCCCAGCTCAGAACCCGGCATCAGGTTACTTCTGAGCAGACACATGACCCATCTGTGTTTTGGTGTAGCAAGTCCCCTCCTGTGCTGGTTTGGCAGCCCGTCCTCTCCCCTCTAGAGCAGATAACACCCCTCTTCTGGGAATGGCTCTGTGCCACTATGGTGCACAGAGGTTTTACTGCTTCCCAGTTCCCTCGGGAGTTTGATGGGTGGAGTCTGACTACTGGCAACTCCTTCAGCAAAGCTGGGTGAATTTCTGAGGAAGACAGAGCTCTGATGAGTGTTTTAGACCCCGAGTAACAGTGAGATGTGGGCAGGCTAAGAATGTTATGGTGTCTGTTAAGTCTTTTAATATCCAGAGGGCTTCCCCCCTCCTCTCTGTGGTTAACTTGAAGGGTTACGGGAAGGTCATGCTGGGTCAAAGGCGACCTCTCCACTCAGCCGCAGAGGACTCTTGAATCACCTCACCAGCTTAGTCTGGGGTCTGTGTTAATAGAGACTCCTCAGCTGAGCAGAGTTCCTTTTGGTGTGGGACACGGGCCATTAGGGATGGAGCTGAGACACAGCAAACTTGGGTCACATAGGAAGGAAACATCTTTTCCCTTTGGGTTTCTCTCGCCCCGTTTTACGTTTGTGTCCTTCACTCCCCTCTAGCTCTGTTTAAAGATGACTGTGTCCCATACATGGATTTATTTAATCTGTTGCCATGGGCTCACATGGCAGCCATTTGTATCTTTGCCACTGTGAGAGAAGTATGGTCGTTGTGCCTGGCAGCCCTACTTATGCATAATTCCCTTGCTTTATGATGCCTTCTAGAAGGCCCTTTGTAGCTCATCCTGTCCCACTCCATCACTGATCCCTTCTGTTACAGTAGCTTCCGTTTTTTTTTTTTTTTTTTTTTTTTTTGCTTTTCTCTGCTGAAATACCCCAAGCCCCTTTGGCCTTCAGATGCAAACTCTGCAATGATTCTGGGTGCCCATTGCCCCTTTCTCTCCAGGCTGATCACGACTGTCCTACATATTGGTGACCAGAACTGACATGCCTAGCCAAGGTTTAAATCACGCTGAGCCAAGAGGGTCCAGAAGGCATCTGTCAACTGCTCCCCATGGCTCATAACTCTCCTTCCTAAGACACCTCCCTTGTTATCCATTCTGCCTTCCTTTGGATGACCCTGACATATTGAAAACAAGTTTCATATCAGACAACTTCTGTTTTGTAGGAGTCATACAACCTCTATGGAGCTCACCCATTTTACCTGCTGATGGAGGAAGGGGGAGCTGCTCATGGTGTTTTCCTCCTGAATAGCAATGCAATGGGTACGTGCTTTCTTATGCTACATTGGGGTGGAGCAGGCATTCAGGGCCTGATGAGGGAAGCCCCTTGCTTTACCAGCCTGCAGGCCCTGACGGTGGCATCTCATAGATATTGGTGCTATTCCTATCATTAGAAAAGGGGCCTGCTGGCTTTGGGAGCTGGAGCTGGACAGGTTGGGTGGGCTGACCTGAGGTGGCAATTCAGGAACTTGGGGCAAAGAGGAGCAGTAAAAGAGAGAGAGGTGGTTTCATGGCCCCTTTATTGAGCCAGACATCTGTTTCCTGGCTAAACTTAGGCTCTTTAGCAACTGTCGAGCGGTTTAACCACACAGGCAGCTGCTGAACTGTAGTCTGAAAAGCCAGCTTCTCTCATGCCCCTGGTCCAGCCGTGTTCTCCTCTAATATATCTGCCCTTTAACTACGTGGAGAGTGCGACTTCTGGTGCAGGCAGGGATATAAATCTGCTGGCTGCTTTTCTCATAGTGGTACCCTGCTGATGCCAGCTGTGGCTTCCACAGAGAGCTGCTATAAAGCAGCAGCCTGTCCATGCCAGCTGGGACTCCAGAACTGTAAGCATCCGCTCACCGATGGCATATTGGTACCAGCCAGGACTCCAGCAGGGTGAGCTTCCTGATGGTCACGCCAGGCCAATGTCAGCAAGGGCACGGACACTGTGAGGTTCTTTACACCAGTGCCCTGTTCGTGCCACCTGGGACCCTGATGTTATGAGGCTCCTCACACCAGTGCCATGTTCGTTCCACCTGTGTATGTTTTATTGCAACAGAACTCCCAAGAATAACTGGGCAGGGAAGTGCTGTGAAAACACACCAGCTGTATCGGAGGTGTGAGAGTTTACACATACAGTGCACCCTTTCCAGCAAAGCCCTCAGTCTGACAGACAATCGCTCTCACATTCAGCTCTTAATTTATCATTCAGTTGTGTGAGCTCTGGAATGGGTTCTACGCTATCGAGACAGAAAGCACTGTTGGGCTTAGTTCTGGAATGGAAATGGTGAGAGCGCCACACCTTTCAGGTCTAGAAAACAGATTTTGTAATAATCCTTTGCACGTCTGTTGCTCCTGAAATACAGTGATACCAAGTCACGCTGCAGCCTTTAAGCCTTCAGAGCCCCCGGTGCAATACAGAGGTGTTATTACTCCCACTTTACAGATGGGGAATTGAGAGACGTATATTTTTGCCTATGGTCACATTTGTCTGTGGAAGAGTCATGATTCGAGTCTGGACTTCTGACCCCATTTCATGCTTTAGCCATTGGACCACTGTTTCATTGTCTCTATTCTGTCACTTTCCAAAGAGGTGGCTCTGCAACCAGCTCCTGCCTTGACCTGGAGAACCATTGGGGGAGTTCTGGATTTTTACATCTTCTTGGGTCCTGATCCCAACATGGTCATCCAGCAGTACCAGCAAGTGATAGGTAAATATCAATACCCCAGCCATTCCCTGTGCATCTCACCCCCAAGACAGCCTGTTGAATAACCATTCCTTTGTCTGCTTAGACATGCCCATCATCTCCATCCACTGCCATTGCTGTCACATTTAGACATTAGCACCTGTCTCACCAGATTCATCGTGATGTTCTCCACCACCAGGGGTGTTGCCTCTTCCTCATCTCCACCAGAGCCTCCCTCTCATTCAGAATTGCCCTAGTCATTACCGCCTCCATCAGGGTTGCCAAGTTCGTCATTGTCTCCATTCCAATTGTGTTGTTCCAGGTTTCCCTGCCATGCCACCATTCTGGGGGCTGGGGTTCCATCTGTGCCGCTGGGGCTATGGGACAAGCAATGAAACCTGGCAGATTGTGAAAGCCATGAGGAATTATCAGATACCACAGGTAAAATAAATACCTGCTGTCCAGGGGAGGCTAGGCAGCTCCACAGAAGCATTTCCACACCATGCAATTCTGCATCTCTTCTTTGCAGGATGCTCAGTGGAATGATATTGATTACATGGAAGGGTACCGGGACTTCACCTTTGACCCCATGAAGTTTGACACCCTCCCGCAGTTGGTGGAAGACCTTCACAAGCATGGCCAGTACTATGTTATCATCCTGGTATACTGACTTCTCTGACCTTCTTCCTCAATTATACACTGGGGTTGTTTTCATTTCTAAAACTTCAGGCAGATGCAGCCAGAGTCTGCATGTGAGATGTTTCAGAGTAGCAGCCCTGTTAGTCTGTATCCACAAAAAGAAAAGGAGTACTTGTGGCACCTTAGAAACTAACAAATTTATTTGAGCATGAGCTTTTGTGAGCTACAGCTCACTTCATCGGATGCATTCTGTGTTCACCTTGCAAATACAAACAAGAGCAGGAGCTACTCGCTGCTCCATGAGGTGTCTGGCTCCCCACAATAAGAGTTGCTTCTGTCTATTTCAATGATAAACATTTTGGCACAGAGCCTTAGCTGGTGCTGATGCCAACAGAGCTATGCTGATTTACACCAGCTGAGGATCTAGCCCTTTGTTTTTTAGCATATGCCTTACCCTCTGAGCAAGTATGATGCTTGGCTTTGAGCAATAGCCTGAAAGAGCATCAGGTACTTTTGTGACCTTCTTTTTAACACACACACCCTTGTCCCTCTCTTGGCCTCACACAGGCCTCTGCTTGGGAGGAGTGGCTAGGACCCCCACTGGAATCCGTAAGCACGACCTTTGGAATTTCCCCCTTTTCTGCAGGGGAGCTCTAGCGACAGGTCCAGTGTTATCCCGCTGCCTTCCTGTCTGCTCTGTGTGTAAACCTCCCAATGTCTCAATCACACAAGGAGACACTGATGCAGTTATCTGTCAATCAGTCTGATTCATGGGTTCTCAACCTTGGGGTTGTGACCCGGTCATCACCTCCCTGCCCCTCTTATACTGGTAAATGGGAGGCAGGTTCCAGCTAAACCCCAGCTTGATGGAACTGGGGGTCCTGGAATGGAAAAGGTTGAGAACCCCTGGTCTAACAGAGTGATTCCACTAATTGTTGTTCCATTGGCCATATACTCAGCATTGCTGTGAGATGATGCTTCCTGTCCTTGGACTTTTGGGGCCTTCCCCCTCGTTTCCTCCCTCCCTGCCCCGCCAACAACAAAAAAATCTATCTATAACCCAACCCTTGATCCTTGGAGAAGTGACACTTTATACAACATTCTTTCTCACAAGTGGAAATGCTGCAGCAAGTTTCTGTTCCTCTTGGTCAATTTGGCAGTAACATGTGAGCTTTCGTCAACCTTAATATGGTGGGCCAGGGCTCTCAGGATGAGTCATTTGTTCTCTGAGTTACACCGGGGTGTATTGGTGAGGCTTCAGGGATACTGCAGGGAGAGTGTAACCTTCTGTCCATATGTTTCCAGGATCCTGGGATCAGCAGCACTAATCCTCCTGGCTCTTACTGGCCTTACGATGAAGGCTTAAGACGTGGCATATTCATAAATACTACTCAGGGGCAAACGCTGATTGGACAGGTAAGAGGGGGAGCAACTCGGGTGAAATCCTGACTCCACAGAAGTCTATGGGAGTTTTGCCATTGGCTTCAGTGAGACCAAGATTTCACCCCTAGTGTTGTTAAGGGGAAAATAATAAAAATAATGGTCCAGTGACCTTTCCGTCCTGTCTGCTCTGGGCCTGAAGCTCTCCTTGTTCTCTTAAGTGTAGTTCCCATTGACATCACTGTAAAGAGAGCTGAATAGGCCATGTGGGGAAAATACTGAGCCGGATTATGATCTCACCCCCATATGACTCCAGGGTGACCTCTTGGAAATCAGTGGAGTCACATGAACACAAGTGAAGTCAGAATCTGTTGTGTGGCCCTAAACTGTCAGTCTGATTCTCTACATTTCTCCCTATTTCTGGAATGATGAAGTATTGCCCCTGGTGAGCAAATCTGTGGAGTTGCTCCATTTATTACCTACAGTCCATTGTGACTTCTCATCCAGCTCATCTCAGGCTTATAAATTGTGGGCTCCTACTGTGTACCTCTCTTTCTCTCTAAAGTACTTTAAGAAAGTTTGAAAGGCACTGGAGAAAAACAGATGATCGTTAAGCTAAAAATTATGGGCCTGATTCCCTGGGGGTGTAAAGTGCTGTGAAATCCAGACTCTTCACTCACTCAGAGTATGGTGGTACTTTACACCTAGTTTGTGCTTGCTCTGCACATGTGTAAACAATTACACAGGGTGCAAGGCAGGGAAGAATCAGGCCCCATATTTAAAAAACCATTGGTCCCATTGTTACTACTGGCACCTTAGAATATTCAAGCTGAACTTGAAAAATCAAATGGGCTTTTCAGCAGCAAAGCTGCCCGTTCACCATCTGCATTTTAAATTCCACCTTCTCCACAGGGGAGAAGGTGGAATTTCAAAAGTGGACCAGGCTAAGTCTCAAGCTCCAGCCACCAGTGGCAGATAGGAAGGTCAGTGGTGTGTTAACAGGTGGAGGGTGGCTGGACTGCCATCTTTGCAGTTGTACAATAGGCTGTGATTCCCTGAACGCGCTCTGTTCCTTGGTGCAGCTGGCCGATGAGAGGTTCACAGAAAGTGTTATTTGCTGGCCTTTCCATAGGTATGGCCTGGCTTCACTGCTTTCCCTGACTTCTCCAACCCGGACACTTACCAGTGGTGGCTGGAGAATCTGAACCGTTTCCATGCTCGTGTCCCCTTTGATGGGCTTTGGATCGTAAGTTCCTCCTTACCTCTGTTGGGTCTGAGCTACAAAGGCAGGGGCTCTCCAAGCTACTTCCCCATGCTCCCACCAGCACAGTGCATGTCTCACTTATCCCTGAAGCATTTGTATCTCTCTGAGCTCCTGTTTTTCCAGTTTCCTTGTCCTTGACAAGCTCTGTGTCCCTGAAGGCACATATACACTGGGAGGCACATGTAGTGCGTGTCCAGTGTATGCTTTCACTGCGCTGGATAAAAGGGCGCCAGGCTGCACGTTGTTCCAGGTACTGAACATGCTGGAGTTTTAACAGGTCGGGACCAACGATGCAGTTGGCTTCCCAAGTCCAGGGGTGGATTAGGACTCCAGCTCTGAATGGCTCAAGAAGCAAGGACAGCCGTGGAGAGGTCCCATTGGGTCCTTGTTGCTTTGGCCACATGGCTGGTCCCGTAGGGGTGTAGGTGAGCAGCGTCTGGTCTCTGAGAAGAGGTCAGCTCCCAGTTGATAATCACCAAAACCCTATGAATGAAATTTCAACTTGACTTTCTCTGTCTAGGACATGAATGAACCATCCGACTTCAAGGACGGGTCGGTGGATGGCTGTTCCCCAGGGAAACTCGATAACCCTCCCTACATGCCCGGTAAGAAGGGAAATAAAAGACAGGCTGTGCTGGTGCAAGCAGGTGTAACTTCCGTTGGGAGCTGGGCCTACCTACACCATGGCTTCATGTGACCCATAGGTTTTAGCCTCTGTATATGTGTGCAGGTGTGTAAGTGTATATATGTGTGTGTGCTGTCTGTTCTCTGACATGCCTGTAGCACGGCATTCCCAGCACTCGGGGTTGTGCACATGGGCTCAGGTTTCAAACACAGGTACCTAACCGTGTATTCAGACACCTGCATGACCAGTTTTAGCCCTGAAGTGTTGACTAAGGAACCTAACCATTGATATGCCCGCACAGGGGGACAGCTGGCCCACGAACCGTTACCAGCTCTGCCGGCTTTATGCTGCTGCGGGGTTGCTGACTGGCTGCTGCTGGCCAGCACCTAGCCCCTTGGTGCCGTACGAGCAGCCTGGAGAGCTGGCCCAGAGGCTACTGAATAGTGTGTGAGGCTCAGGTACCTGTGTCTGGGTGCAGGTGTTTGCTGGCTGCCGTGCTGCACAGAGCTTCTTCTCACAGCCTCTCTCCCTCCCCATTAGCTGTGCTGGGCAACTCCCTCTCTGCAAAGACCGTGTGCGCCTCGGCGAAGCAGAGCGCCTCCGTGCACTACAACCTCCACAACCTCTACGGGCTGATGGAAGCCAAAGCCACAGCTAGGTAATGGCCAGCGTGTGTGTCGGCCCGTCGACTCCAGTGAGCAGGGTCAAGCCCTGCGTCAACGAACGGCTCCACAGAACTGTGTCCGAGACACCAGCGTGAGGCATCCCGCCCACAGGAGGCTGGTCTGTTCCCAACGCATTGGCTCCAGGCTGGGGTTTGAGCCCCTGAGCTGGGGGTGAAATGCTCTGGCCCCCCACGCTGCATTCACAGCCCAGGGGCGGGAGTTTAACAGAGTCCGAAGCCTCAGGGGCTGGTGAAGGGGAGAGTACCCCCACCTCTCCGGTTCATGGAGTTTGGGGCTACACAAGAGAAGTCCTGGGACTGCCCTAGACCTGTGTCCTCCTCATGGTTTTCATGCAGCTCCCATTGGTGAGGCTGGGGCGGCTGGTTCCTCCCGGCGGTTTCCTCGCCTTGCCAGGTCTCAGAGTCGCACTGGGTGTGGAGCAGGGGCAGGCTGCTGCCCTGAGTCACTGCACTGGCTGTACCCTTGGTTTTGAGTCTCACAGTTGCCCCCGCCTGTTCCCGGTACCCAAGTCTCCACCTTGTCTTTCAGCGCCTTGATCCAGATCCGAGGGAAGCGCCCACTTGTGATTTCTCGCTCCACCTTCCCCAGCCAGGGCAGGTACTCGGGACACTGGCTCGGTGACAACAGGAGCAAGTGGAAAGACATGTACTGGTCAGTCCCAGGTGAGCGGCTCTCCTGGCAACAGGCAGGCCTCTCAGACACCAGCCTTCACCCGCTGGGGACAGAATCGCCCCCAGAGACTGGCCTGTGTCTTCCCTGGTTGTGCTGGCTCCTCCCTTCCCACGTGCTGGGCAGCGGCTCCTCCATTAAACAGCCATGGGGAATTACACCTTATCGCTGGCCTGTAATTGAGATGGGGCCTTTCGCTGTTACCTTCTGGGAGGGCAGCCGAGGGTCTGGAGTCTGCTCCCAGCTCCAGGACTGGCTGCGATGGGAGCCGGCCGCCAGCTCGCAGGCATCGTGGCAGCTGTTTGGTCCTGCGGTGGGTGAGAGGTAACCCCCCCCAGGCATGTTCCCAGCCATGTACGTGTCGCAGTCTGTACAAGGGAACAGCACAGCGCATCGGTCTGAGTGTTGTCCCGAGGAGGATCGGGGGAGATCCTCTCCAGATGTCCCTGGCTGCTTCTGGACTCCATGCCTCTGTGTTTGCAGGGGTGCTGAGCTTCAATCTCTTTGGGATCCCGCTGGTTGGGGCAGACATCTGTGGGTTCTCCGGCACCACTTCGGAGGAGCTATGCACCCGCTGGATGCAGCTCGGAGCCTTCTACCCCTTCGCCCGAAACCACAACACCGAGAATGAAAAGGTAACCGGGAGGCTCCCTCCCAAGGGACCGCAGCACCCATGGGGGCTCTAGGGCTGATGCCATCCTCGGAGAGCTGCATTCGAATGGGGGAAGGGCCCAGAGCAGTAGGGAGAGGTCGCTGCTAGTTGGGGACAGGGGGATGGTTGCTGCTGGGAGCGGTCAAGGGGTGTTGGTCGTCCGTTCTCTGCAGCTCCCTGGGGCAGACTCCTGGTAGAGCCCGTTTGTCCGTCTGTCCTGCCTGTTGACACTCTGGTTGTCTGGCCTGCCCAGGCCCAGGATCCGGTGGCGTTCGGCTCAGTGGCGCGGACGGCCATGAAGGAGGTGCTGCTGACACGCTACGCCCTGCTGCCCTTCCTCTACACGCTCTTCCACCGGGCACACCTGCAGGGCCACACCGTCGCTCGACCCTTGTTCTTCGAGTAAGAAACTCCTCTGACCGCTCTGGATGGTTTCCTGCCCCACGGGCGACCCACAGTGGGGCATGGCCCCCTGACCCCTGGTGGGCATGCCTGCCTCCCTCCCTTCCCCCAGATGAACACAGCCCCCCTCCCTTCCCCTGGCAGGCACTCTCTGACCCATGGGGCCCGTCCACTCCTTTCTGTGGGTGGGCCTGGCCCCAGCCCTTCTTACCCACAGGCAGGATCCATGAAAGCTGATGCCATGGATCTACAAGCAGGCATGAAATCACAGACTGTGGTGCCGCTAATACAGGCAGTTGCTACCCCCTGTTGGTGCTGAGGTTCGGGGGCACTGGCCTCGTTCAGGCTGCAGGGCCCAGAGGTCAGTGGCATCAGCAGGTCAGCTCCGAGGCGCCCTCTTCCCGCTGTAGGTTTCCGCAGGACGTGATCACGTACTCAGTTGACAAGCAGTTTCTGTGGGGGCGGAGCCTGTTGGTGACACCTGTGCTGGAGCCCGGAGTGGACTCTGTGATTGGCTACTTCCCCAGAGGGGTGTGGTACGATTACTACACGGTAAGGAGCAGTGCATGCTGGGAGGCGGGACAATGGATTTGTGCATTTCCCTACCCAAGGGCTATGGAGACCCTGGCTGCAAAGGGCCCCTCATCTGACAGAGCCTGCAGCCTGTGAAAGCAACCGGGGTGCTGACTGCATCAGAAATCAGAGCAGGCGTGGGTCCCTGTGCCAGAGGGGATGGGGAGGGAGCGGGGCAGGAGTGGCCAGTGCACCTCTGACCTGCCCTGCCTGTCGATCTGCTCTTCCCTGGGATGGGAGCTCACAATAGCCTCCTGTCCTGTCCCCTGGTCTTGGTCTTGAGGAGAGCAGGAATCGGAGGGTCGGAGAAGGTCCTTCCCAGACAGTCACCTGCAGACCAGCTGGTGGGCACCACTGCCACCATCAGAGACTGCAGGAAAGGGTTATGGCCACTGCCTTGTTTCTGAGCATGTCCTCCTGCCCTGTGTGTGTCTGTGCTCCCGCCTGTGTGCTCCCTCTGCCCCGTGCGTCTCTGCGCTCCTGTCTCTGCTCTCCTCCCGCCCCATGCACGTCTGCTCTCCTGCCTCTGCGCTCCCTATGCCCCATGCACGTCTGCTCTCCTGCCTCTGCGTTCCTGCCTCTGCGCTCCCTGTGCCCCATGCACGTCTGCTCTCCTGCCTCTGCGCTCCCTGTGCCCCATGCACGTCTGCTCTCCTGCCTCTGCGCTCCCTGTGCCCCATGCACGTCTGCTCTCCTGCCTCTGCTTTCCTGCCTCTGGCTCCCTGTGCCCCATGCAGTCTGCTCTCCTGCCTCTGCTCCTGTGCCCCATGCATGTCTGCTTTCCTGCCTCTGCGCTCCCTGTGCCCCATGCACGTCTGCTCTCCTGCCTCTGCGCTCCCTGTGCCCCATGCACGTCTGCTCTCCTGCCTCTGCGTTCCTGCCTCTGCGCTCCCTGTGCCCCATGCACGTCTGCTCTCCTGCCTCTGCTCTCCTCCCGCCCCATGCGCCTCTGCACCCTTGCTTCCACGCTTCCACCTCTGCACTCCCCCAGCCCTGTGTGTGTATGAGCCCCGGGCTGGTGCCCATGGTCTGCATGCCCCCTGCTCTGCATGCCCATGTCTGTGCTCCCCCGGATTGATGCCCATGCCCTGTGCTCCCCGTGCCCTGTGTGTGGTGGGTGTGAGATGCGCCAGTGTCCGTGGCCTGTGCAGTGTATGAGTCCCAGGGCCAGTGCCCGTGGCCTGCTCTTCCCCTACCCCCTATGTGTGGTGGATATGGGCCTGGCTGGTGCTTGTGGCCTCGGGGAGGGGGTGGTCTCCAGACCCGTGGACAGACAGCCACTCCCTCTTGCCCACCCTGCTGCCTACACTCTGTGTGTCTCTCACTGCCTCTGCAGGGCTCCTCTGTGAACAGCAGTGGGGAGAGCCTGAAGATGGCTGCTCCGCTGGACCACATCAACCTGCACATCTGGGAGGGCGCCATTCTCCCCACCCAGGTGAGGCTGCTCTCCCTGCTGCATCTGGAGCACCACCCCGGGGCACAGGAATAACCCTCGTCCCATGCTCCAGATCCCTGCATCTGGCTGCCTGCTGCCCGGCTCCAGGGCATGTCAGGAGAGTCGCTCACCCTGCCCAGGACGCGCGGGACTGTCTGCCGCACCAGGAGGCTGCCCTTACAGGGCTGGTCTCCGTGCTGCAGCCGAGAACGTGACGCTCCTCAGGGGTCAGGGTCAGGAGCTTTCCTGAGATGCCTCCGTTGGCACAAACTGGTGGGAGGGCGGGGGCAGAATCCGTGCTGTCTGGGCAATTGTCTCCACTCTGTGGCGTATTCACTGCCATGGCCTGCCCCGTGCCCGGTCCTCTACACCTGGAGAACTAGGGGGGGCCCCCTCAGTGGAGTGCCTGGTCTCAGCAGTTGCTCTCCTGAACCCCAGAAACCTGGGAGCACCACCTGGGTGAGCAGCGGGAACTCCCTGCACCTGATCGCAGCCCTGTCCCAGAATGCCAGCGCCTGGGGGGACCTCTTCTGGGATGACGGCGAGAGCCTGGACACCTTCGAGAGGGGTGACTACTCCTACCTGGTGTTCAACGTCACACAGGTAGGGGACCCCAGCTCGGGGGTGGAATGCGCTACCCCCCACCCCGACTTTCCAGAGCCACAGGTCTGCTCTGGCCCCAGGCAGCTGGAGCCACCTGGCCCATTGTGGGGGTGCAGATGGTACAGCATCCTCCTGCCTGAATGGGGCTGTGGTCTCTGGACCTGGCCAGCTGGGGGAGCTGAGATTGGGGCCTGTGACCAGTGCCCTCTGCTGGAGAGCGCTGGGCTCAGTGTGCTTGTCTCAGTGCCCGAGGGGCTGGGGAGCAGAGCAGCCCGAATTGCACACGTGGGCGGTGGGGAGGGGAGGTGACTGTGTGATAGCCAGGGCGTGGCCAACAGGAGCAGTGGAGGGCTGGGGCTGTCCTCAGGTGTGGGTACAGGTGCTGTAGCCGTGGCTACCGACGTCCACTTAGTCTGGACGACAGCAGGCCCCACCTCTCGGCATCTCACCTAGAACATCTTCACCTCCACTGTCCTTCACGCCAACGTGGAAGCCACCTACATCACTGTGGATGTGCTGAGTGTCTATGGGGTCCGGGACGAGCCCAGCAGGGTCACCGTCAATGGCAAAGAGAATCCCTTCTCCTACTTGGAGAACCAGGTAACTCAGCCCCCGCCAGCGCCTGGTATGTCCCTCCCCTGCCCAGCGACACCCACCTCCTTCTCCTGTCAGCGCCCCGCGTGCCCTCCCCCTGCCCAGCGATGACTGGCTCCTTCCCCATCAGCCCCCCACGTGCCCTCCCCCACCCAGGGATGACGGGCTCCTTCCTCAAGCCACACACTCTGCTCTGGCTCTGACAGGGTCACATTTCTGTCCTGCGGTCCTGACGTGCAGAAGGGCAGGTACTTCAGCTTCCTCCTCTCTTGCCCATTGGCAGCTGGCCTCACCCCCCTGGCCCTGCCCTCCGAGACCCCGGTCTGGGAGTTACCCAGGGCACCTGGTGCTGCTCCCTGCTCGGGACTGGGCTTGTGCGCCGAGTGGGGGGACTGGGAGCGGGGAAGGGCTGTTAGGGGTTAGAGCAGGGCAGTGGGAGTCAGGATGCCTGGGTTCCATTCCCAGCGCTGCCGGGCTCGCTGTGCCTCGTGCCCCAGGGGGTTAGTTGCATGGGCCCCTCTCCAGCGGAGCTGTGAGCTCAGCTCATTGTTTGCACAGCACTTGGAAGTGCTCACTGAGTGGGCAGGTGCAGATGCTGAAGGTTGTTCTAGCCCATTGCCCTGCTCTGCCCCTTAGCACCCGTCTGCTCTGCCCCCCCCCCCAGCCCCAAACCATCAGCTGTTACGTCACAGGGCAGCGTGGCGCGTGCTCCAGCTGTGATGGGGGTGCACCCAGCCCGGCGCTGTGTGCTGCATGGGCCCCCATGTCCCACTTTGAGCTTGAGTTTCTCCGTGTACTGCAGGTTCTCACGGTGAGCGACCTCAACCTCAACCTCAGCCAGGGATTCTCCATCCGCTGGCTGTGACTGCCGCACGCGCCTGGAGCTGGGCTCTGGAGGTTTCTCCGTCCGTCCATGTGTCTCTGTGCGGGGGTGGGGATAGGGAGGAGTTTCTGGGCATCCATGCGCATGCCAAGGCCCTGGCTGTGGGGTGCCGCTCTGTGCCACTGCTGGCTGGCTCCGGGTCCCTGTTCAGGGCTGCCTCCTGCCCACATCGGTTTGGACACAGACTGGATTCCACAGCTGCTTTGTGCCCGAGCTCAGCCTGCCTTTCCTGGCTCTCCCTGTCCCCAGGGGACTGCTCCTGCAGGGCAGCGAGAGCCAAAACTCTGCCCTGCTGACGCTCCTGAGCTCTGCCGAAGATGCTCTCTGTCTTGGCCCTTGACGCAGGGTTTGTGTTTAAAGACTCGGCTGTCCCATGCCCAGGACTGTGGCTCTGGGGCCTGGTGAGAGGCTCTGGTCAGCCGTTCTGTTCGCCTGTCTCCTGACACCAGCAGCACAGCGACGTCTCCTGTGACCCGGCTTTCACAACCTGCTGGCACGGTGCATCCCAGAGGGCATCAGTGTGCTGGGGTGAGGGGTGTGCTATACTGCCCAACCGGCAGGCCACGTCAGCGCTGACCTTCCTCCAGCCAGATGTCCCTGCATTACGGACAGTACTGCAGCACCCGGGGGGGAGGGAGGGAAGCACTGCGTACACAGGGGCTCCATGGCGGCCCACCAGGCTCCCATGGCACTGCGGGAGCAGCCTCAGCGCTAGCAACAGTGGTGGGATTTTCAGAAGGAAGCTGAGAGCCTCCCCACGCCGGGTCTGGCTGTGACACGGGTGGCAGTGCTGGGAGAAGTTAGGGAAAGGCCCCTGAACGCTCCTGGTGCCGCTCTGTCCGGGATGAATAAAGGCAAGTAGAGGTGGCTGCTGTCTGGCTGTTGTTTCTGGGGCAGGGTGAGTCTGTCCTGGCATTCACTGCACACCCTACCTGTCTGCAGTGCCCCATGTGGGCCTGGCTGCGTCCATCCCATGACCGTGACTTCCCCCCCGCCCCCTTTGGTGTGTCCCCTCTGCCTGTTGTGTGTTGCCATGATGCAGCCGGTGCATCCCCTGGGACAGGGCTGTCTCTAGTGCAGGTCCGGCCGGTGCCAGCACAATGGGGCCCTGATCCTTGATTCCAATAATAATGAAGCCGCCCTGGTCTGAGGCTGCATGTAACAGACTCTGCCCTGTGCAATATGTGCCAAGATCGGAGCAGGGGAAATGACGGGAGAAGCCCGGATTGTGCAGATTCATTCAGCAGTACTGTGCAATGCACCCTAGCAAGCTCCCCTGCCAGCCCCAGTGCAGCAGGGAAAGGCTGGTCCGAGGCCAGGCTGTGGGTTCACTTCCCTGCTGTCACACGGTCCCTGAGTGATCCTGGGTAAGTCATTTAGGGTACGTCTGCAGCTGAGAGGCGTGATTCCTCGTGGGGGCAGATGTACCCGTGAGAGCACTGCTCGTGCCAGCCCACGGGGCCAGGGCAGCCTGAACAGCCACCTGAGTACGTTCCCCAGGATCTTGGAGGGGATTGTAGTCGGGGGGTGAGCCCAAGCCCCCGCCCCTGTCACCCTGCTATGTTTAGCATGCTGGCACCTGGAGGTCTGCCAGAGCTGGGAATTACACCCCAGACCCCTCCGACCCTCCGCCAGCTGAGCCCCCCTGTACACTGGGGCCCCCGCGCTGTCCTGCAGCTACTATGACAGGAGGTGGGCGGTGGCTCCGGTCACAGTGCGGCCGGTGCTGGGCCATGCATGGGCTCCCTGGCCCCGGCCGCTGTCCTGCCCAGTCTCAGGTGGGTGCCCAGGGAGGTTCCCCCCGTCCAGGTCCTGGGGGCTTGGCGCGGCCCAGCCGCCAGGGGCCGTGCAGCGAGAGGGGCGGTGCCTCCTGTTGCCCACCAGGTGGCGCTGCGGAGCTGGCGGGTGGGTGCAGTTCCCCCGCTGCCCCGGGCTGGCGGCGAGGCGGGGTGTAGGTCACGCCTCGGGCCACCAGGGGGCGTCACCTACGGGCAGCCCTCGAGTGTGACGGGTGCGGGGACGGTGCGTGGCTGCGGAGGCAGTTCCCGCGGCGGGACGCTCGGTGGCGACGCGCGGGGACGGTTCCCCCGTCACGCCGCCAGGTGGCGCCGAGCCCCTCCGGAGCCATCGAGTCGTCGGACAGGGGCAGTCTCAGTTTTGATTCCGGGTCAATCACAGGGCGCCAGTAGCCGTTTCCGGTTCCGGTGTAAACGGGCCCGGCTTTGAGCGGCAGGTGGGTGCAACCCAGGTCCCCTCCCCCCCTCCTGGGAGCAGCGCGGGGCTGGGGGCGGGGGCGGTGAATACCGGGGTTAGGTGGGGGGATGAATGGCGAGGGGCTGGGTGAGTAGCGGGGGGAGGGGCCGCGGGAGTAGCGGGGGGAGGGGCTGGGGTTACCGGGGCGGGGGCTGGGATGGAGGGGGTTACTGGGGGGCTGGGTGAGTAGCGGGGGGGGGGGGAGGGGGCTGGGTTACCGGGGCGGGGGCTGGGATGGAGGGGGTTACTGGGGGGCTGGGTGAGTAGCGGGGGTTCGGGGGGCGGGTTACCGGGGCGGGGGCTGGGATGGAGGGGGTTACTGGGGGGCGGGTGAGTAGGGGGTTACGGGGGGCTGGGTTACCGGGGGGGGGTGGGATGGAGGGGGTTACGGGGGGCTGGGGGTAGCCGGGGTTACGGGGGGCTGGGTTAGGGGGGGGGTGGGATGGAGGGGGTTATGGGGGGTGGGTGAGTAGGGGGTTACGGGGGGGGGAGGGGGTGGGTTAGGGGCGGGGGTGGGATGGAGGGGGTTACGGGGGTGGGTGAGAGCCGGGGTTACCGGGGGGGCTGGGTTACCGGGGCGGGGGCTGGGATGGAGGGGGTTACTGGGGGGCTGGGTGAGTAGCGGGGGTTACCGGGGGGGGGGAAGGGGCTGGGTTACCGGGGCGGGGCGGTTGTATCAGCCATAGCCTCGCCCTTCGCCCATCCCCTGTCTCCACTCCCAGACCCTGCAGGTGACGCTGCGGAGCGGAGGCCCCGGCGGCATGAATCGCCCGAAGCCGGCCACGGTTCGCCGTCCCAGCGCGGTGCCCAAGCCCTCGGGTGAGTCCCAGCCTCTATCAGCGGAGGGGTCGGCCAGGCCTTGCTCCTGGAGGAGCCGCGGGGCCCTAGCGTGGTGGGTCCCATCACGGCAGCCTGGGTTGAGCGGGGCCACTGGCCACTAGCTTAGGAGGGAGAAGGGGAGGCTCTTATAGTGCCTCGAGCCCAGCTAGGTGGCTCAGTGGGGCTGTTGATGCCTAAACTCCAGGCCTCCCAGTAGGGCTGGCAGCTGCTTGTGAGCCCTGCCCCTGGTGCCAGCCTCCAGTGAAATCTGCCGTGGCTTTGTCTCTGCATTGCTTTGTCCTGAGGCCTGAGGGACTTCTGACTTTGTGGTCTCATCTCTGTTTTCCTTTTGTAGCTCATCCTCCACCAGGAGATTTTATTGCCTTGGGGTCGAAAGGCCAGGCCAATGACTCTAAAGCTGCTGTCACACTGCTTAAGCCAGCCCCAGCTGGATTGCCCTCTGAGCGTAAACGGGAGGGGTCCGCTGCTTTATCTAGTGCATCCAGCCTGACGGGATTGACCAAACGCCCCAAACTCTGCTCCACGCCTCCCCTGAGTGCCCTAGGACGTCTGGCAGAGGCTGCAGTGGCTGAGAAACGGGCCATTTCACCCTCAATAAAGGAACCGTCTGTGATTCCAATTGAAGGTAAAGCAACATTCTGGTTTCTGCTCGGGAGTTTCTGTGATTGTGAGAGAGGGGGTACAGTCATGTCCTGCTCTTCTACTCAGCACTTGAGCTGAGAAGCCTTTTCGCTGGGGTCTGTATGCTGGTGCTTGGGGAATTCCATGTGCTTCCCCAGTGGTGCCACTGTTGGCATAAGGCTCATGGGGAGTGTAACACTGACATCTTCCTGTGTTCAGTGCAAAGCAGGCACACTTTCTCTGCAGGCTTCCCGCCCTGACATTGTAGTGCCGGGTGGGATTCCCTCTCCTGAACTCTCTCTCATCCTTCCCCCGTCTGGGCATAGTGTTTTGCTTTTGGCCCTGCTTCTTTCCCCTCTCTCTTTTTATACTTACTGCTCCATCTAGTTTTTCACTTCAGGTGGATGTCCAATACCGGCACTTGAAAGGTCTCTCCTTGGGAAGTCATTGACCCCATGTTATAGCTCTTTGTGTGTAACTAATGTGTTGAGGGGGCAGCTGTGCACTTTAATGAAAGCTCTGGGGGCCTGTATGTTGCATGTTTTTTTGCAGAAGGTCTTTCTGCTCCCTGGTGTTCGATACAATAATGGGGTTAAATTTTAGCAGAAAGAGAGACAAAGCGAGAGAGATCAAGGAATACAAGCAAAAGGGAACAGGAGTCTTCAGCAGAGCTTGCATGGGTGGAAAAAAGTGAACAGGGCACCATTCCACTCTGTTCAAGTCTCCCAGGACATGTCTTTGCTGCATGGGGATCAGTATTGACAGCTGTTTGTCTGTGATTGCAGTTGTCCCCACGGTGCTGGTGGATGAGATTGAAGCAGCTGAGGCAGAGGGCAATGATGACCGCATTGAGGGGGTGCTGTGTGGAGCTGCGAAGCAGCTGAAAATGAACAGAGCCAAGCCTGATCCCACGTTGTACTTGAGTCTGATGTATCTGGCAAAAATCAAACCCAATATATTTGCCACCGAGGGGGTTATTGAGGTGAGAGCTGTGTTTGTTTTGATTAACGAGTGTGATGCAATGTCACCTCACTGTGCTGACAACTTCTGAACACAGTGGGCTCCCCTGGATTGGCACTGCAGCCTCTTAGCACAGTGACATTTGCCCTGGTGCCAAGAATTGGGCTGAATGAATACAACTGTAACTGTGAACTGTGTGATGGGTTGCTCTGTGTGTTCCTTCTCTCAGCTCTTTACTGTGTCTAGGGTCTGCCACCTAGAACTGAGGTACAGCTGAGCCCTCTGTCTCACCAATCTAGGTTCCCTCTTGAACTGTGACATCGTGACAAGCTGCAAAGCCCTCCAAGTTTGCACTCACACCAACCTCCACAGGCAGGGACCACACCCCTCTGTGTTCATGAATGCTCTGGCCAGCCACTCATGAACCCACAGTAGAGAGGCTACAGCCAAAATACTCACAGTTCCCCAGCCTAAGACCCCAGAGCTATACCATCCTGCCCTCTTCAAAACCCAACCAGTATGAATTTATAACTCAGTCCGCCACTTCTGCAAAGGAAAGTGGTCATGCCCCGACTCTCGTTCATGAGCTGAGATTTATCCTTCTTCAAACAACACACAATGTTTTAGGTAAAATATAAAATAGATTTATTAACTACAGAAGGATAATAAGTGTTAAGTGATTATAAATAAAAGCAAACAGATCAAAGTAGATTACCATAAGAAATAAAACAAAACTCAAAATAAGTCTATAGTATTAGATAGGGTCTGAATCAGTAATATCTCACCCTGGCTGATGATACAAGCAGTCCACCAAGTTTCCATACACAGGCTAGAAATCCCTTTAGCCTGGGACCAGCACTTCACCCTGCAGTTCAGTCCTTTTCCTCCGGTACTTTCAGGTGTGTTATTGTAGGGAGAGTGAGGTGCAGTCATGATGTCATTTCCCCCTTTTCTATCTTCTTCCAATTTGCTGGAAAGCACTTTTGCTGTGACCTGGGTCAAACAGTTCCCGTTGTGTAGTGCTATCTCTGAGAGGTTTGTATGGTACGCAGTTCCTGGGGTAATCCTTGTGCTTGTGTGCATTTCCTCAATAAGCCATTAACATTGTTTGAACTTCCTATTGGTCTACCTGAAAGGCTGCTTGTGGGTGTTCTCAACCTCGCAACATATTTCAGTAGCACATACATAGCCAAACGTCATAACTTCACATAAATTCAACAAGACATTAATGTCTACCAGATCAAGACTTTTAGAATGATACCTAACAAGGCATACTTTGTACTAAACATAGCCTAATTGTAGGACAGTGGTGAATAAGGGGTTGCCAGGGTGTCACACCTCCCCCCACTTAGTTTACTGCAGGAGTAGTAGTCACTGACTAATACAGAGGCAGTGGCCTAAGGTTCTCTTCAGGTTTTGACTATACAACTCCCAAATATTATGGAACATTGTAGTGTCACCCACAGGTGTTCCCTTGTTTTCATCTTTTGAGGGATTGATTCTTGTCTGACATCTTCCAGGCACTGTGTAGCCTCCTCCGGCGAGATGCCTCCATCAACTTCAAAGCCAAAGGGAACAGCCTGGTGTCCGTCTTGGCCTGTAACCTTCTTATGGCGGCTTACGAGGAGGACGAGAACTGGCCAGAGATCTTTGTCAAGGTACATGGTAGCTGAGGGGAGAGCACTCCCACTGGGTGATGCCATGGTGGGCGGGGCCAATGTCATTGTGCTTGTCACCACATAGGGGAGGGCAGGGTGACATTGGAGAGGAGCAGAGGGCTTGTTGCTGCTACCCTGTGATGCTGTAGAGGGGAGAGTGGGTCATTGCTGTGGGGAAATGGAAAAAAGGAGGTCGCTGTCTGAGGTGGGGGCAGATATGCAACAGGACCGGTGGCTGCGTTGGAAGATTGTGAGGGATGAAGTCCATGTTTCTCAAACAAAGGTCTGCAGCTAGGTTTTCATCCAACATTGCAACGCTGCTCCTCCCCTGCCTCTCTCTAGCCTTCCTATTCTCCCTTCTGAGATATGCTGCCTCCCCTGATTGCGCATCCTTGTGCAGTGGTGTTCCTGGCTGGTTTGTCCGTGGGGCTTGAACCCATGATCTCTGGGTCTAAAAGCACGAGATTCTTGCTGCTAGAGCTACAGAGCCAGGTCTGTTAGGTCAGCAGCAGTAGCTGACTTAAATATTTTGATGTCATCTAGCTATGAAAGCGGGGAGACCCACAGTTTAGGGGAAGAAGGATTTCCCAGTGGTTAGGATACTAGCCAGTGGTTTGGGAAACCTGGATTCAGTTCCCTGACCCCGCACGAGTTTCCTGTGTGACCTCGGGTGAGTGTTTTGGGCCTCAGTTCCCCATCGTGCAACAGGGATAATAGCCCTGCCCTATGTCACAAGGCTGTGGGGAGGATAAATACGTGAAAGATTGTGAGGCACGCACATATCTCAGTGATCGGGCCACGTAAGTACTGAAGATGGATAAATGTCAGCATTGCTCCCATTTATATTCTGCTTCTTGCCCCTGGCAGGTTTACATTGAGGACTCGCTTGGAGAGCGCATCTGGGTGGACAGCCCTCACTGCAAGACGTTTGTGGATAACATCCAGACAGCCTTCAGTACAAAGATGCCCCCGAAGAGCATGCTGTTGCATGGGGAAGTTGGCCGCAGTGGAGGTGATCTTAGTGCAGGTAAGGAGGTGGTCGAGAAGAGCCTAGAGATATTTTTAGCCTGATAGTCTAGTAACAGCTCATCAGAGGAGATCCCAGTTAGGGCTTATGTGGATTGGGCAGCATGCTTCTATTTGGTGAGATGGGGCACCTCTCATTGCTCTCTAGTGCCCACTCCTCTCCTTGAGGGATGCAAGGACTACCAGGGCCGAAGGTCACTTTTGGGAAGGAAATGGATGGGATTTGAGTGCTCCTCTAAGTACTGCAACACACTGGAAGATCCACCTAGAAGATTGTGGGGAAAGCAGTGACAAGGTGTGGCTGAACACCAGTGCAGAGGCGCTGGTAAGAGGACTTCTGGGGAAGAGGCTGTTGGAGGGAGCTACTTGGAGCGGAATCTCTCAGTGCTAGTGAATGGTCTAGGGGTGCTAGGGGTGTTGCTGAGGCATTATGTCCATTCATGATTGTGTGTTGATCTGTCTGTAGGGAGTAGCCCCCACCCCGCCATGGCAGAGGAGGAAGATAGCCAGAGTGAGTTGCTGATTGCAGAGGAGAAGATGAGTCCAGAGCAGGAGGGACAGCTTATGCCCAGGTACAGTGCCCCTTCCCTCCCCAATCACAGAGCCTTTTGGCATTGCAGCTCTCTGTGCAGACTCCTAATCCAGAAACCACTCTCGCAAAGCTGATAGCTGGGAACATCTCCCAACCAGCTCTCCTATAGCACACCCTAAAGACACGGTCTCCCCCAGATACTGCCCAGTGACGTTGGATTGGTTTGTGCCGACTCCTGGATACCAGAGTGTTTTGTTGTCCGTGCTGTTGAGTGGCCCTTGCTCTCCAGGTCTTGGTTATGTGCGGGAGGTGTTTCAGCAGATACTAGGTAAAGGAAAAGTCTGGACCTGAGCAAATGTGGGATTATTGTGCCTCAGATACGAAGACCTCGCGGAGAGTGTGGAAGAATATGTCTTGGACATGCTACGGGACCAGCTCAACCGGCGGCAGCCAATGGATAACGTCTCCAGGAACCTCCTTCGACTGCTGACGGCTACTTGTGGCTATAAAGAGGTCCGGCTGATGGCTGTTCAGAGGCTTGAGATGTGGTTGCAGAACCCAAAGGTAAGAGTGTTGGTGGTATTTTCTCCTGACCATGAAGGCTGTAATTACACTGTATCTAGTCTGGAGGCCAGGCCAGTAGGACCAGGAATTTCTGACTTTGTGTGTGATAGCGGTTGGTTGTTGACTCTTTCTGGTCTTATTGTATAGCTGACCAGACCAGCCCAGGACTTGCTAATGTCAGTCTGTATGAACTGCAACACACATGGGTCTGAGGACATGGAAGTCATTTCCAACCTGATCAAAATCCGTCTCAAACCCAAAGTCCTTCTCAACCACTACATGTTGTGTGTCAGGTAAGCAAGTTAATAGGAGCGTGTGACAGTCTGAATGCAGTACAATGTTTGCAAAGGGAGCCAGCTTTTGTTTAAAGAACTGGAAGGGAGGTCTGGTTGAATGCAGTCTCTTAGAATCCCTTCTTGAGGGCATGTTGATTCTGAGTGTCACTGAGTGATTGATTGGCAGACAGTCCTTTCTCTCTGCTGGAGGACGCGGTGTCTTCCCTTCTTGTCACACTGTGTTTGTTATGTGAGCTGAGAGACTAGAACTGTATGCCCCATAGTAAGAAATCCCCGGTCCATGGGATGCTCTGCTAACTCTGGATTCCCCTTGCAGAGAGCTGCTGAATGCTCACAGGGACAACCTGGGTACCATGGTCAAGTTTGTGATTTTCAATGAACTTTCAAATGCAAGAAACCCCAACAACATGCAGATTCTCTACACAGTGCTACAGCACAGCTCCGAGCTAGCACCAAAGGTAGGGACAGGAGCCTTGCAGGTGTTGCGTGTGTGATCAGTAAGTACCTGAGGGGGAGAGTGGCTGAACTGGATCTTTATTTTAATGGAGTCTCCCCAACTGCGCGGGTATTTCCTTTGGTTTGGAAATCTGTGTACAGTGTTTGTCTGAAACAAATGTGCACGGGCAGTGTCAGATTCCCGAACACTTTGGGTGTGTGTCTTTGTAATTAACAGTGCTGTCATCTTCAGGAGAAACCTCCCTGACTGTGGCTCTCCCAGTAGAGCTCCCCAGTGAATTCATTCATGCCCTGGTGCGCTGATAACACCAGCAGGGACTCAGTGTGTCTAGTCTCTGTCCATGGATGTTGGTGCTGGATATTGAGTGCTAAAGGGCTTCTCTTTTGGGGCCTCAGTTCCTGGCGATGGTGTTCCAGGATTTGCTGACTAATAAGGATGATTACCTGCGGGCCTCGCGGGCACTGCTGCGAGAGATCATCAAACAGACGAAACATGAGATCAACTTCCAGGCTTTCTGCTTGGGGCTCATGCAGGAGCGGAAGGAGGCCCAGTATACAGACATGGAATTCAAGGTACCACCTCGTCTTGTCATACCACCTCTGCTTCTCATCCCAGCACTCCAGCTAGTGTTCTGAGGGACTCTGTGGCATTCTCCCTTCTCTAATAGTTTGACCCCTCCATGCAGTGCTCTCTTGCTCTCCCTTCAATTCTACGTGGCTTACCTGCTGTCTTCTCTTGCTTATTTCCCCCATGATATTGCTCAGGTGGACATGCGTCGTCCCCTTTCCTCCTTGTATGTATGGCTTGGCTACTGCTTCTTGCAGTTTAGTGGCCACATTCCAGTCCCTCTTTCCTATCCACGCTGCTTGGACTTATGAACCCTCCTTCCTGTTTCCTGTCCCAATATCCCCTCACTGGCACCCCTGCGTTGCCTCTCCACCCTGCATGATTTTACAGGCATCTCTGGCAGCGGGTGCACCTTTGGATGATGGACACTCATCCTCCAGATGCAGCTGGGATATCAACCGTAGTGATCTGTTTTTAGGAGCGGTTTGTCATCCACATAACTGACCTGCTGGCTGTCTCCATGATGCTCGGCATCACGGCTCAGGTGAAGGAGGCTGGGATTGCATGGGACAAAGGAGAGAAAAAGAGTAAGCCTCCTAGCCTGTATTCCTTTGAACATCGGACATGTGGGGTAGAGAACATCCAGAAGTGGCATCGGGGGAACATTGCTGCTGGGAGTAGTGAGGCTGGGGGTAGGAGAGGACCCCGAGAATTCTGGCTGGTGGAGTTGGGGTATGAAGGGCCACATCTTAGTAAATCTACCAGCTGGATGCACAGTCAACCCTGGGAATCACTCAGAGCAGAGGTGCTTGTAATAGCCATAGAAAACAGTGGCTGGGAGACATGTACTAGGAGGAGAAAAGGGGGACTGAGTTGGCGTGGTGGGAACAGTTCAGAAATCTGGCTTTTGTATGATGGAGCAGCTGTGAACATTATAAACTACCTGAGAGCCAACTATCTGGGCTAACAGGAAAGCTGCTGCCTGTGCATGTCCTTGTCTTAGCCTTGCATTTCTGCTAAAATGTCCCCGGGTTTATTCTAGTTCCCAAGGGTGGTACCAGAAAGCCCCCTCCGCTACCAAATGTGTGTGCTATAATAGTGGTGGGTGCTGATGGTTAGCTGGTCTCGTGTGCTGGGCCTCTCCAGGTAATTCACTGCTGATTCCTTGGAGCCATCTGCTTGTGAGATGGCTGTTCATAACAGTCACACCCCAGCTTCCCAGGGGGCTGTGAAATAGGTGCATAGTTCCTGACCTGAGTGTATGTCTGTTTCAGACTTGGAGGTGCTGCGTTCCTTCCAGAACCAGATTGCTGCCATCCAGCGAGATGCTGTCTGGTGGCTCCACACAGTGGTTCCATCTATCAGCAAACTGGCTCCGAAGGACTACGTGCACTGGTATGAGGTTCAGTTGAATGGAGCGGTTCCTAGCAAACCTGCTCTGGAAACCCCCCCAGTCACATTACTGACTCTACTAAACATGCTACGTAGAGACAACTGGAGTGTCTCCCCCACAGCAGCCAAGCAGCAGGAATGCTCTGCCTAGTGGTAGGGAGATGGATTTGCTTTCCCTTCGGGATTTCACGTGCACTTCTGTACAAACTTTAACGCTAAAGGCTTCTGATAGTATTTCAACAGTATTTCCATTCCAATTATGCTGTCAAGGAAACAGCCCCTTTGGACCTGTGTTTTGATCTGATCTGATAATGGAGGGAAAGGTCCCTAGATAGGGAAGCTCTTGTACAGAGTGGAGACTAGATAGAGCTCTGTCTCCGAGACTTTCTGCCCTTGGAGGCAAGAGTATACTACAGAGGATTAGATGATTTGAGGCATTTGTAATGGGACCAAAAGATCAGCTGAAGTCGTTAATAACTGAAATCTGTTCCCACCTAATGGCTATTGGGGTCTCCTTGGAAGTACTGCATATCGCACCACCCATCGCCATTGCAATTGGTGCTAACTGTTCCCCTGGTTAGTCTTGGCAGAACTTTCCTCTTGCCTGAGGAGGGAGTCCTTCTGGGTCAGAGTTGGGACAAGTTAGCAGTGTGGGGAAGCTCACCTGTATGATATATTCTTCTGTGGATTGTATTGCGCTCCAGTCTCTACGGCTCTCCATCCACCACCTCTCAATTCACACACCGGGGAAAGATACCCTGGGTTTCAACGAAAGTTGAGAATTTATTATTGTCTCTCTCTGCAGTCTTCACAAGGTGCTGTTCACAGAGCAGCCAGAGACCTACTACAAGTGGGACAACTGGCCCCCTGAGAGTGACCGCAAGTAAGTACATGCACCTCATTTGCGATTGGGTTTCCATGGGGAGAGCTGTGGAAGTAAGGAGAGGAGAAATCAGACATGTATGGTGCTTAACTAAGCTCTCCATAAGAATGTTTTATACCTCCTGTCTTTGAAAACATCAGCAAAGCAGAGGTCTCCTTGTCCCTGTCGGAATTTTCAGAAGATAGGGTTTCTCCAGTCTCCACCTGTCCCTTTTCCTCCTCCCCCCATCCCCACACCAGTTGGTGCTGTGACTGCAGAGAGAATGGCCTTGCATTGCGTGTGGTGCTGGGGATCTGAAGCCTGCCTGCCTAAGTCTGTAAAGTTCAATTGCAGGGGGCAAACTAAGCCGTGTTCTGGAAGGGGGCTTGTTCTCATATGTGACTAAGCTAGGGGTTGTGGGCACTGGTTCCACGTCCAAGCAATACGAGCCCAGCCCCAGGCTGTGATCAGGAAAGGTTCCCCTTTCTTTGGACAGTGGGTCACTGCCTTCTCTTTATTTCTCATTCCCAGCTTCTTCCTGCGACTCTGCTCTGAGGTGCCTATCCTTGAAGACACGCTCATGCGGATCCTTGTCATTGGTTTGTCACGGTCTCCCCTTGGCCCTGCTGATGCCATGGAGCTTGCTGACCACTTGGTGAAGCGGGCGGCAGCTGTGCAAGCAGACGGTAGGAATGCTGTGCAAAAATGGTTTGGTGACGTAGCAATTCCCACCCTATTGAGAGTGGGCAGCCTGTCACCTTCCTGTCCCCCCTCCATGTGGGTCTGAGAGAGTCTGCAGTGCACGTGTACCACTGCTCCCCTGATCTACCTCAGAATGGTTGGAGCAGGTAGTAAGTGCATCTGCATTAGACTTGGGAAGAGCGTTTTGATCTAGTTGTTGAAGCACACGACTAGGAGCCAGGAACTTTCTGCCACTGGCTCTCTCTCTGTCTCTGGGCAAGTCACTCACCTCCCTGCACTATTCTCTGTCTGCAAAATGGAGCTAAACACCCCTGCACAGTGGGTTATTATTTGCTAATTACTGGCTGTGTATGGGCTAAGTAGTGCGATTGTTATTACCCAGAGAAAACTAATGTTTTTACAGCCAGTAATTTAACTGTTATGTAGAGCACAAAAGTCAATTAAAAATATTCTAAGCCCTAAAAAAAAAAAAAAAATAGTCAAGGTGATTTACTAAAGTATTCTTTTGGCCTTACAGCTCATATTCAATATTGACTTGTGACAGATCACCTTCACAAATCACCTGGCCAACCAGATGTAGTTAAGAACTCTGTCAGTGTGGCTGTCACACAGATGAATATAACCATATGATTTGAGCTGTATGTGTTGAGTGTTTGTAAATGTGTCTGGGGGAGAATTCAGGGTGGTGCCAAAGCATGTCTCTAAAGCACATAGCATACGCTGGAGATTGGGCAGTAAACACAAAAGTCTAAAAGGTGAAAAAACTAGACTTTATTGTTTGACCACATTTTCATTGGTGAATCTGTCACAAAGTATTAATGCTCTAAATGCTGCATCATTTTACGTGTTGAAACAGTTGTAAGTTAGAGGGGCCCAGAAAGGTTAGACAGCAGACTTGGACTGAAAAAGGGCATTTTTCATTTCTCTGAACTCCTAAACTACTGAATGGATTTACTGCTAATTTTTTTTCTAAACCTGTTCCATAGAAGTAAATAGTGTAGTTATTGTTAAGTTTGAAAAATGTTTTCCCTAATCAAAGAACTTAAAACTCATCTTTAGCTGAAAAACTCAATATATATTTACTTAGAGTTGCTCCTGATCCTGATTTCTCCATAAACATCTTGATTGTTCCCAAACCCATATGATACAATCAAAGCCTGTGACAGTAGACTCATCTGAGGTTAGCCTTTCAGTACAGCTTATTAGCATGTTTGCTTAAGAACTATCAGCCAAGTACCCATGTCTATAACCTGTTCGTTCTCTTCCCACTTTAGATGTAGAGGTCCTGAGGGTGGAGAGAATCCAGCTGATCGATGCAGTCTTAAATCTGTGTACTTACCATCATCCGGAGAACATCCAGCTGCCCCCAGGGTGAGGCTTGTAGATGCAAAACTCGGAGTTGCAAAGTTCTAGCCCATGTTCACCTTGTTTCTGAGAATACTGGAACCCTTCCCTAGAGTAAACTTGTAATAATGTCTTGCTCTGGTGGGAATTTCTGGGGAGCAGTGGGTGGGCTCTGTACCCTGCAGCTGATTCCCAGTGACTGGACTTGGTCGGAATTTCCCTGTGGAGAAGCTCTGAAATTTATGCCGGTGTGGGTATTTGCTGCTGATCCTTCCAGGTCTCTGTGCTCACTCACTTGAGCAGGGTATTCACCTGATATACCTGCAGGACTCTGACAATGCTGAATGCAAAAAGCTAAGCAGAGAAGCAATGTGTCTAGTGCAGTGGTTCTCAACCCGTGGGCCGCATGTGGCCCAATTAGCACAACTGTGGCCCAGCTCAGCTATGTGCTAAAGGCCCAGCCACGTGCAGGGGTACACCAGATTCCTGGCTGCCCTGCCACCCAGCAGGGTCGGTGTCGGGGCTGCCGGCCCCTGCGGCCCAGGTAACACATTGCGGCCCACAATGTGTAATAAGTTGAGAACCGCTGGTCTAGTGATTGGAACAGGCAACTCTGAATACAAATAACTTGGTTCTGTCAATGGCTTTTTCAGGTATCAGCCTCCAAATCTAGCCATCTCTACCCTCTACTGGAAGGCTTGGCCTCTCCTTCTGGTAGTGGCCGCATTCAACCCTGAAAACATTGGTGAGTTATGAGCACTTCTCTGAGCACCAGCACAGCTGGGATGTGTCACAGGAGGGAGCTCTGCTGACTCCTGCTGTCTCAGCTGTAGATGCACATGAGGATGGCTAGGTTTTGTTGTTGCATGACTCCACATTGATGCATATGCGCTGCGTAAGCAGAGCTCTGTGGGTTCGGGGTCTAAAAGGAATTTGGATCACATGGTAAGTGGAGCATAGTGTGAGCAGGGGGATTAGCTGTGAGTGCCCGTTCTGTTTGTATGTGTGAGGGAACGAGTGCTTGCACTCTGCGGGGATGGGAAGGGAGTGTGGTATGCTCTGTGCACACACAAATATCCTGACTGGGTGTCTAATCCCCTGACTGCCCTTTTCTTCTGGGTTGCAGGGTTGGCTGCCTGGGAGGAGTATCCCACACTAAAGATGCTCATGGAAATGGTCATGACTAAGTGAGTGGTGTTTAGCTCTTTTAGTTTCATCCCACTCCTGAAGAGAACGGATTTCTGAACCACGTTTGCACCTGACGGCTTCTTCCTTTCTCTGTCTGAGGGGTAGGGGGAGATGAGGTTTGGCACAAAGCTTACGGAAGTGAAACCTGCTGGACAGCAGCTGGGCTGAGCCTAGAAAGAGCGAGGACCTCTCCCTTAGCTGTCACAGATCGGCAGTGAAGCCAGGCTCTGTGAGAGGAAGGGATGCATGGGACATGGCTTGTTGGAAAGGGCGTGGCTTTTCATCCACATTTGGAAGGCCCATTAGTGTTTTCATGCTGTCTGACTGAACCAAGAACATTGTGGCATTTTGACTCTTTGCTCAGCACAGAATTTATAGCACAGAAGGTCAAATAATTTTTGTGCCTCTTCTTCCCAGTAATTACTCCTATCCCCCCTGCACTCTGACGGATGAGGAGACCCGCACAGAGATGATTAATCGTGAGCTCCAAATATCCCAGCGGGAAAAGCAGGAAATTCTTGCATTTGAGGGTCATCTGGCTGCTGCATCTACAAAGCAGACTATTACAGAGAGCAGCAGCCTCTTGCTGTCCCAGCTCACCAGTCTGGACCCCCAGTGAGTAGTCTTCTCCACTCTGGTACAATCAGGGAGTTCCCACCCTTGTAGTGGCATCCTCAGACAGGAAGAAACAAGGCTGAAGATCTCACTTGGAGGCAGAGAGCTCCAGGCAGAGGCTTTCAGGTGGGCTATGGTAGAGTAGTGGTGACTGGCCAAGGAAAAAGAGGATTCGGTGGCCGTGTAGGGCAAATACAATGTGCCCTCTCCATTTGGACTGCTTCCTACCCCTTCTGTCACATGTGTGGCTTTTATGCACTGATGACCCAGTGTGTGTCTGTCTCTTTGTGAAGGTGGGATTAGCTGTGTGTAAGGCCTCTTTGTTTCTCTGGCAGGGGCCCCCCACGCAGACCTCCGCCACATGTCCTGGAGCAGGTGAAAAGCCTAAATCAGTCCCTCCGCTTAGGACATCTCCTGTGCCGCAGCCGCCACCCAGACTTTCTCCTCAACATCATTCAGAGGCAGGTGGGTTTCCTGAGGATCTGGGAGACTGGAACTGGCTTCTCTGGAGCTTTGAGGAAGCATGGGAGCAAGCATGTTGCAGGAAGGTATCTCAGTAATGCAGGGGCCTGAAGCCTGGGTTTATGGGATCTGCAGGGATAGAAAGCAGGAGATGAATCAAATGCAAGGAAAAGTGGCTTATTTCTCTCCCCTGGAGTGTGGGGGTTGCCTTCTGCTGCTTGAGAACTAATGGGAGATGCTTACCAGTCAGTGCAATGGTAAACGTGCAGGAACGCCTGGATTTTCCAGCCCTTCATTGTATCTGTCGTGTTCCCTAGGCCTCGTCCCAATCAATGCCATGGCTAGCAGACCTGGTTCAGTCCAGTGAGGGCTCCTTGGATGTTCTTCCAGTGCAATGTCTTTGTGAGTTCCTGCTGCATGATGCTGCTGATGAATCTGCCTCAGGCGAGGAAGAGGAGGAGGGAGAAAGTAAAGAGCAGCGTGCCAAGAAACGTCAGGTAAGTGGCCTCCTGGGTTGGTTGCTTCAGGTATTTGAGTGGCCTGGTTCTGATATGATCTCATTGGATGGATACCTTCTCTTTCCAGAGACAGCAGAAGCAGAGGCAGCTGCTTGGGCGCCTGCAGGACTTGCTCCTGGGCCCCAGAGCTGATGAGCAGACCACTTGTGAGGTGTTGGACTACTTCTTGCGGCGCCTCAGTTCCTCTCAGGTGGCCTCCCGAGTGCTGGCCATGAAGGTAAGAAGAACAGACAGTAACTGGTTTGGGTTTTCCAGGGATGATGGGCAGAGTCTCTCACTTACGTGGTTCAGACAGCACTTGGGCATGGAGGGGCTTTTGAATGGAGCTGTTGTTCCTTATTTTCTGCATGCTGCCCTTGAGCTAAAGGCAAGAACCTTGCTCCATCCTCATTTGTCCATTTGAACTCTTCTCTCCTGTTTCGTGGATGTCACAAATGACTCTGGTGCTTTGTTCAGACAGGGCTGCAGAGTCCTGTCCTTCCAAGCAAGCAGATTGTCCAGGTACAATACAGTAAATATGTATTGGAGGCCACCCTTGCTGGGTAGCCTACCTCAAGATCTCCCTAAATGTACTAAGTTGATTGTTGCTGTTTGCTGTTAAAACACCACCTCTGTTCAGCAGCTCGTTTTTCTTTTTATGTCCTTTTGAGTATGTTCACTTAAGCTGGGATTAAGATGCAGATCCTATGCGTGCAGAATCCAGACTGCTGATCCTGGGGCTCTTGGGGAAATCAACATCAGTTGTCCTTGGGGTACTCCCAATAGAATGTAAATGGGGAAACTGCTGTTGACTGCAGACTTCTCTGAACATACTTGGTACCATGAGGACAGTAGAGACGTGCTCTCCTCCCGTGTTCTGTGTTGATTGTTGTGATTGGGTACAGTAGTCTGAAACCCCTCCCAGGGTAACTGTTAAGTAGAGAGTTCTTTTGGTTGCTGCTAAAACACAAATGGCCAGTTCCAGTGACCCAGAGTCCATGTTTCTTCCTGTGATGCATACACATCACCTTCAGGTTGTTAGTGGATGGAATTTGAAGCTCTGTTTTCATTTTGGGGTTCTTGGTTTATGGTACAGTATGAAAATGCTGACCCAGCTGTTGTTTTATATACATGGGCTTTGTCCATTGTACATCTCCCTGCAGGGTCTGTCCTTGGTGCTGTCGGAAGGGGGATTGCGTGATAGAGAGGAAAAAGAGCACCCTATGGAGGAAGATTCTGGTGACTCTGAGCTCCTGCAGGGATACCAGTGGCTGCTAAGAGACCTGCCAAGGCTGCCGTTGTTTGACAGTGTTAGGGCAACTACATCTATTGCCTTGCAACAGGTAAAGGTGACTGGGAGCAACTGGAGGTGTTGGGGAGGTGGGGCAGGGATAGGAGTGGCCTGCTCCGAAGGCAGAGTGTCCTCTGCCCTATTGATGCTAAACTGAACCAAAGGGATGTGTGTATATATTGGGATAAGGGATGTTCCGTAATTTGCTACTGCTTGTTGCTCTTGTCTAATGATCACTAACTGGAAAACCTCTTGTTCCAGGCCATCCACATGGAGACCGATCCTCAGACCATCAGTGCTTATTTGGTGTACCTATCCCAGCACGCCCCCATAGAGGATCAGGGGCAGCACAATGACCTCTCTCTGGTAAGAGAAGGGATTGAGTGATCACATGGAAACACTGTATCTCACACCTCTCTGCACTGTAACGACCACAGGCTCGTAACTGAGCCAGAGACTTGCTGTACAAACTAACCACCTGTTAATGAGTTTACAAGTCACACGCGGGGGTGTCTTGTTTCTTTCGAGTGTCTCACATTGGACGTCAGACTACATGTGACTTTCTGATTTGGGAGGTGGATAGCCATTCGCAGGAGTATGGTGAATTTGAGACTATAGATAGGTTTAAAAAAAATAAAAAATCCCAACCCTGATAGAGAGTGCAGTCTCTGGACCCAGCTGGAGAGTGTTTGCCATTAATACCTAGGTATATGATAAATGTTGGGAAATTGGGAGTGAGGCATAACAACATGACAAGTCAGGCACATTTTGTAGTAAACAAAGAGGAGTTCTGAATTTTTTAAAATATCCTTTGGGCCATCTTGGGTACTTGGCGTCTTTCATTGTTCACAGATTTTAAAGGGTACCTTGCCAGCACTTTCTTGCCTTTTGTGGGGGTTCTGTGCTGCCCTGGTGATCTCCCAGTGATAGGGACGTAGGTCTTATGGAGAATCTATTGAATTGTTCTTTGCCTCCTGGGAGTCATGTGGGCTGGTCTCCAGGCTCTGTGTGCGCGCATGCCCAGTGTCTTAAGTTACGATTGTTGTTAAAATATAACAAAAATCATGGGATCTCTGAGTCTTCTAACAACCATGACAAACCTTCTACCTGACTTAAACCTGGTAACACTCCCTGTGCTATAGGTGTATGGAAATCTGGATATGCCATAACAGAGGGGGCAGTTGTTAAGTAAGGAAGATGATTTGTGCTACACCTGCTCCAGTGTTGCACACCTCCCAAAGATTGCAGTTCCATCCGTAACGTCCCCGTGGCCCTTATGTAGCAAGATGGACCAGTGGACTGATCCAGGGCAGGACCAGGTGGGCAAATAGCTTTTCCCACAATCAAAGCTGGAGAGGGCTAGGGAGTGAAGCAGGAGTGCCTGTGTGAAGATTTTCACAGGTGTTTTCTCCCTGCAGGATGTGGCCAGGCTCATAGTGGAACGCTCCACCATCATGTCTCATCTCTTCTCGAAACTCTCATACTGTGCTGAGTCAGAGGCAGTGCTGGTTGCTCTGCTCTCCATCTTCTCTTGCTACGTTAAGCGCATGCGCCAGAGCAAGGAAGGGGAGGAGGTGTACAGCTGGGTAAGCATCTCCCTCAATCTTCTTTGAGTCCTTCTCTTCCCTCCGGCTGTCTGCGTCTCTCTATCTCTCCTAGCATTCCTATTTCTGTACTCTCTTTCATGGTTACTTATTTTCTTTCCCCTCCTATAGTCTGAGTCCCAGGATCAGGTGTTCCTTCGCTGGAGTAGTGGGGAAACAGCCACTATGCACATTCTTGTGGTCCATGCGATGGTCATTCTGTTGACACTGGGACCACCTCAAGGTTAGTATTGTGTGTTGAAACAGATTCACATGAATCACTGCTCTGATGTAACTTCCTCCAGCCTGCACCATCCTGGAGAAGGAGGCAGTTGGGTCCTCATCCTGCACTGCTCAGGAAGCCAGGACACTTAAACGCGTAGACTTTAAAGTCAGAAGGGACCATAGTGATCATCTAGTCTGACTTCCTGCACTTTGCAGAACTTCACTCACTTCTGAAATAGACCTCTCACCTCTGGCTAAGTTACTAAAATCCTCACATGATGGTTTAAAGTCTTCAAGTTACAGAGAATTCACCATTTACACTTGTTTAAACCTGCAAGTGAAATGTACCCCATGCTTGAGGAGTTGCCTTCTTGTGAGGCATCTCTGATATTGATTGGTACCCCCTACAGTGTCCTTAGCTGTCTATATCAAAGGCCACAACAAAACCCACCTCTATACTGCCTTTACATCTTTACTAGATGCTCCAAATACCTGGCTATGTGGCATATGTGCAGAAGTAACTTGCATCCCACCCTGGTTCATTGCCTCTCGGTCAGGTCTAGCTCACTGCTTGCTGTGAAACCAAGGAGCATGGACGAAGGAGTGTGACGTAGAGTTTGCCTCTCCTCTTGTTTTTTTCCATTTCCCCTCCACTCTGCCAGCCATGATGATCTATTTGTTGTCCTCTCTTTCTCCCATCTGGGTTCTTCTAGCCACTCCAAATGCTGTGGGAATTTTCAAAGGCTCAGAGAGGGAGGGAGGTGCCCATTAACTAACTCCCCCTTTGGGCCTTTGAAAGTTATCCAGGCTCAAGTCCCAGTATGTCCCACCTTTCTCCATTTCTGTCTCTTTGCCTGAAAGCCTTTTTGGAGCCAGGAGTTTTTTCTGTGTTACTGTTTGTTATAACTGGAGTGCCCAGCAGCGTACAAGGTACTTCACAAACAAGGCATGTATCTGCCCCAAAGAGCTTGTATTCTAAATACTAGACTAGACAACAATTCAGAGCAGCAACCAGCGGATATGTATGGGGCAGGGAGTGCAGGGCTTACAAATTCTTGTTTTGCTGCATGTGTTGCGAGCCTCTTAAGGTTATAAAGAAACGTACGTTTTACTTTTTTCTCTATTTGATTTAAGCACTTAGTCTCTGCTCAGCAAGTAACCCAAAATATCCTAGGAGCTGTTGGGAACATTTCAAATCCATTGTTCGGTTCAGTGGGTTATGTTGAACATTGTTTTTATTGGCAGCATCCAATTTTAAAGTTACTGATGGGAATTCTCTCCCCCAGTGTAGCGTGAGAGTCAGACCATTTGGCATATGGCTCACATTCCTCTTATCCAATTTAAGCTTGTCTTTTGTTGCTGAAGCAGAATGGTGGTTCGCGGCCTCTTAACAAGGAAGTGACCTGGTTTATACTGAGACGGGTGGGGTATATCAGTGTGTATAATGTGCATGTGGAATAACTTTTGTAACTGTTCTGGTAAGCAGGGGAAGGTGACTTTTGTGCCTTGCTGGACATTTGGTTCCCAGAGAAGAAGCCCCTCCCCACTGCCTTTCTTGTTGACACTTCAGAGGAGGCCCTGCTGCTTCCTGACTGGCTGAAGCTGCGCATGATCCGCTCCGAGGTCCCTCGCCTAGTGGATGCAGGTGAGTGGGGCCCAAGGGACACGTGCTGGGGGTTGGGTTGCCAAAGCCAATGAAAGATATGGAAATGCTGTATTGAAAAATTAGCCCAGCTCCTTTGAGGTCTCAGCCGTCTTTATCCCATAGGTGCTGTAGATGAGTGGAGGGATAGAGGGGAGTGTCTGTCTGTTAGCAGATTTGGATTTCTTTCTTTGCAGCAGAGAGGTTCCAAGCACAGGCCTCTTGCCTTGCTTCACTAGGCTGTTTGCTAAAGGGCTTCCATTGCCCTCCAACAGAGACTTAGGGACTTTGGGCTAGTCCAAGCGGGGACGTGTGTGTAGACCAGTGGTTCTCAGCCCCCAGACCACGTGCAGGCCAGTCAGCACACAGCGGCGGCCCATGTAATATCCTCAGGGCCATACAGGTAGTATATATATTGTGTGGATGCAGCCCACATAACCCAGAGAGAGCTGCATATGTGGCCCACAATGGTAAATAGATTGAGAACCACTGGTGTAAACTCTTCACTTACTCCTTATATACTACTCTGTGTTGTCTACCTTCAATCCCTTTCTTTTCTGGGGGGAGGGGTGCACTGGTACATGGGGACTAGTATAAAGTATTTAAGGACTGGGGCCGACTAGCAACAGGCTCCTGCAGTTCAATCCAAGTGGAAGGTGAATAAACAGCAGCATTCAATCGAGGGGGGTGGGAGGAGCCTTCTCTAGGCAGCTCTCGACTCCAATATCAAACCCCCTGGCACAATGCAGGCTGTTCTTTCTGCTTACCGTTGAGCTCTGTCCATGCCTGTCTTGCACTGGCTGTGGTTTTGGCATTTGCGCCAGGCCGGGGAACTGTTCGGCCTCTAAAGTCTTATTAGGATTGTACTGCCAGCTTGACTATTGAGCTTTACCATTTATTTTAAAGGGAGCAAGGGCTGTGGAATTAGAGGACCTTCCTTTTACTTAAACCAGATCCATTTGTATTCCTTTGACTAAATTAAGCTGCAGAAAACATACATCTGACCACTAGGGTGAGTGCATATCACAGCTTGCATAGCACACGACAGTGCCTACAATGGCAGTAGCAGTGCCTGAATAATATAACGGATAGCTGCATCTTTTAGCATCACGTGGCTCTTCACTGCTGTCTGTTCTTTGCATTCAGAGGTTTTGTCCCTTCCTTACTAATTAAATGACAGCTCTCTCTTGCCAGTGATTGAATTATTCAATAATTCCTGCCCGCGGCCATCAACAGAGAGGGTGGCAGTTATTTTTAATACAGATGATTTGGTTCCTGAGGTTTTGATCAAATTAAATGGAGGATCAAATTAACCCCAGAGTGAATTAACTGGAGGATGCAATAAGAAGGAAAATATGTGCAGAGTCTGTACAGGGCAAAGAGAAACCCATAAGCAGCTGTCAGTGTTGGCTTAGGTCCTGTGCAGCCCTGCTAGTAAAGGTGTCATTGATGGCGTGTCCAAAACCACATGGACCTGCTCACGAACATATCCTGCTCCTATGTGTGAGTGACTCAGAAACCTGAGGATTCTGACTGGCCATGTCTGCGTGTTTCAGCACTGCAGGATCTGGAACCGCAGCAACTGCTTCTCTTTGTTCAGTCCTTTGGGATCCCAGTCTCCAGTATGAGTAAACTCCTGCAGTACCTGGATCAGGCAGTGTCTCACGACCCACAGACGCTGGAGCAGAACATCATGGACAAGAGTAAGATCTTAAGATTAGGCTGTCTAGGAATCTGTCTCTTTCTGGACCTGCTGTTTAAATCCTCCTTTGTTAGCTCGAATCATTTTGCAGCTTCCTTGTAGGTTCCAAGATAGCTCAGCCTGACCTCTGTCAAGGCCACCGTAGCAGCCATTGCTGTCCACAGGGACCTGTCTGAGTAGGCTTGGAGTGTATTTCTCAAGGGTGTAGCATTTTCTAGCTTAGCTTGTGAGAAATTTGGGATTGTTTGTGGGTGATTTCTGGCTGTCTGTGAAACAGGGTTTGTTCTTGCTGGGGTTTCTCTGCTTACTTGGAATGCGGAGGGGTGTGTAAATTCCCTGCAGAATGGGAGCTGTGCACATGGCAGCATTTGTATCCAACTTCATATTTTGTCCTTTTTCAGATTACATGGCTCATCTTGTGGAGGTTCAGCATGAGAGAGGAGCTACGGGGGGGCAGACCTTCCACTCTCTGCTCACCACTTCCCTGCCAGCATGCCGAGGTATTGCGCAACATACACTAATCACTCTCACAACAAAGAACTGACCAATATTCCACCTCAGCCTTTGTGAGGCCCAGCTCCAGTCTGTCTTTCTGAAGTGTGGGTTGCTTTGTTGTCCTTCAGGCGTCTCCCAGGCTGAAAAAGGAGATCAGTCCCCTTCATACAAACTTCTCCACCAATGGACACCACCCCCAGCTAGAACTTCCCTATCTCCACTCCTGGACTAGGAGAGGAATTCTGGTTTCTCTGGAGGATTTTATTACAACAAATTCTATCCTTGTTATTTTCTCCATGTTGTTTAGCTCCTCATGTTTGGTCTAAGGAGAAAAGGCTGCTGTTTACCTTTCTACCAGTTTGGGGTCTATAAAACTGGGGCACATCTCTTCATTTGGGCCCCAATTGGTGACGCTTGCCTATGACAGTGTTCCTTTAATCTCTCTGCAGATGGTGCTGACACTCCAAAGCCCAAAACTAGTCCTGAGACCCCACAAGGACAGAGTAGGATCCGGGCGTTGACTCAGATCCGGGTCCTGGGTCCTGAGGATGACCTGGCGGGCATGTTTCTTCAGGTATTGCTACTGCATCTGTTATTTAGAGAATAGGTTTGTCTGCAGCTACTCCCTTCTGTACCCCGGGCCCAACAGCTGCAGTGCCTTTTCCAGACCCAACGCCTACATTCTAAGCCTGGTTTGATGAACTCTGGCCTCTTGCTTTCACAGTGCTTGGAAGGAGGGAGTTATAAGTCTTTGGTGGTGGGGGCCATGCTATTTTAAAGATAATGGAATTACTGATGGAAAGATCTCATGGTTAGAGCATGAGGTTGAGACCTAATTCTGCCACTGTTAGTAGTTTTGTGGGCAAGTCACTTAACTGCTGTGCCTCAGTTTCCCTATCTGTGTGGCTCTACCTCTGAGGCTTAATTTGGTAATATTTATGAAGTGCTTGTGGATCCTTGGACAATAGTTGCTGTGTAAATGCAGGATATTAGTATCAGTAGTCTTATTTGATCTATATAGACACTGCTTTGCCTGTTCCTCCCTAGGTCACTAAAGTATTTGGAAAGCAGGTACTGTTAGGTCCCCTCTAGTGTACACGGTCAGAGCCACGTCTCCATGTCAAGGAACAACCCTATGTAAACCAATTCCCTGAAGCAGTGGCTGTTATCATGCAGATGGTCCTTTTGTTTGTTTGTTCTCATACAAGCTTGCCGTCTTTCAATTTTCTGTCAGCTGTTCCCACTGAACCCGGATCCCCGGTGGCAGAATTCGAACCCGCGCCCCATCTCCCTGGCGTTACAGCAGGCACTGGGTCAGGAATTGGCTCGCATCCGCCAAGGGAACACACAGGTGACAGGGATTTCAGTGCGTCTTCTCCAGGCAGTGGCAGCATTGATGAACTCTCCACATAGCGGGGCTCTGGTGATGGCCATGCACCGAAACCACTTTATCTCCTGCCCACTGCTGCGTCAGCTGTGCCAGTACCAGGTGAGCCATGTGGGAGTGGGCTCTTGTCTAGCATGGAATTGGGGGCAGAGGGGAAGGGAGCAGTTAAGCTCAGACCTCTGAAAAAACCAGCGCCAGTAGCACTGGCAGCCTTGCTCTTGGGGACTAGTAACTGCAGTACAGGAACACCCTAGAATAGCCTTCAGAGCAGGGAGAGATTTACCTTAGGAGATATACTGTATTAGTGAAGGAAGGCATTGAACTAGATCTATGTAGTTGTTCTGTATCCTTGCAAGTGAGTCTTTCCAGATGTGCATGGGGAGATGCAGGTCACAGAGTTGACATTCAGTGAGCTGGGGTTCCAGGTAGCCTGTCTGCTGTATGTGCCCATGCATGCTGCAGGCGTTATCACCTTGTCATCTTCGTACAAACAATCCCCACCACCAGGACTCCCAGCTGCACCTTCCCTAGCTTTACACCTGTAACTTTTAGTATTCTCTCCCCAGCGCTGCGTACCCCAAGACACCGCCTTCTCCTCGCTCTTCTTTAAAGTCCTCATGCAGATGCTGCAATGGCTGGAGAATCCTGCTGTGGAAGATGGTCCTCTGCGTGCTCAGCTCAAGTCCTTTGCTGTGCAGTACTCTTCAAGGCATAGGATCAGTGATGGTAAGAGGCATTAAGCAGAGTGTGCATCTCGGAATGGACAAAGTGGGGCAGAGAAGGGTCAAAATCAGAACCTGATGCTGAGTCTAATGTGGCTGTTTTTCCACCCCCTTTCTGAGAATGAAATGGAGAGGGTTGTCATCGTTTCAGCATGTGGAGAGCTATATAGAAATGCCCAAGAGTAAAAAAGAAAGGGGGAGATTAGGTTGTGCTCATGTCCACATGTTGTTCGAGTGACATTAATAGGGACAGGAGGCAGCCAAAATGATTAATCATTAGGATAATTTGCAGTGAAGGCCCATCAGCTGATGGCCTCTTAGAGAGCAGGCAAGTGGGATTGTGGGAAATCTCAGGACTGTGGATATCAGAGTTGATGATGTGAATGTAGTTGTCCTTGATTTAACACTGGCAAGAGACTGCAAGGTGAAACAGTTCCACGCCGTTGTTTGTTTTGCTGTCCATCATCTAGCCAGAGTTCCAAGGCCAGGGAATCTGGAGAGCACAGCCAAAAGTACAAGCTTGAGGTTTGGACTTAACTGCCTTGGGGTTGACCATAGGGTCTTCTAGCCATAGATGCTTGTGACTCCGGCCCCAGCATTCTGTTGGGGTTTTTTGATGGGCACGAAAGTGCTAGTGTGTGCAGGTTTCAGATGTTAAGCTCTTAGAAAGAGGAGTCATGTGAAGTGTTTGTATGAAAGAAGCCACAGCAAGGCTGGCGGAATGATTAAAGGAGGACCCTGGTGTGGCTTAGTGGTACTGATGCTGTGATTCCCTGCAGTTCGAGGTGGGTTCCTGCACCTGGCAGAAGCACTGGCATTCCGTCGTGACCCTGATGTGATCAGCTCCACTGTGCGAGCCATCATGGCAACCCTGAAATCTGGAGAGAAGTGTAATGTGGAGCCAGAACTCATCAGCAAAGGTATGGCTATCCTTCTGCCCTGCCTTCTGGAACTGCCATTGGTATTGGGGACAGAACAGAGATGTGCATGCTTGCTCCACTGCTTAGTGGGAGTGTAGAGCTGGGGAGACGGCTTTTGCTCTCCTGGATCAAGGGTTCTGACCTACTGGAAGGTTGCTCCTGTCTCATTTTACCTCCTTTTGTTGCATTCTGTCATATTGGTTTATAAGCTGCTTGGGACAGGGACAGGAACTGAGAAACAGCGCATAATGCTGGGTTCTGCTTCCCTAGTGAATAGTAGAGTATCCATAACTTCTGTAGAAAGTTCCAAGACTGCCCTGTCTCTCACTGAGATTCACTGTAAGGGAGTGCAGTACTAACCGGCTTCATGAAAGATACTATCATCTGGCTCACCAACTTCACACTGCCTCCCAAAGCCTCTGAGAGAAGTCTCTTTCTTTCCCTCTCTGTTAGTCCTTCAAGGTCTGATTGAAACACAGTCTCCTTACATGGAGGAGCTTCTGACTGTCCTCTTCTCGGTTACCATTGAGACCACAGCCAGGTTCCCTGCCATGAGACCAATTGCTGTGGTGAGCTCTCTGCTGCTCCAGGAGAAAGAGGAGACACCTGTGAAGAAGGAGTTGGATAGCAGCAGGTGAGTCTCGGGGTGGTTGGTACTGGTCACTCTGTCTGTCTGGTTTTGTGGCACCTTTCCTGATATTTGTGCTGTGCTCTTAGTGCTGAAGCTGCTCGTCTAGGGCCCTCCTCGGGCCTTCTCAATGACTGGCTGGAGATGCTGGACCCTGAAGTAATCAGCAGCTGCCCAGACCTCCAGCAAAAGTTGCTGTTCTCCTGGAACACGGTACGAATCTCTCAGCCAGGAATGAATCTTAAACTGAAGCCCCTTTCTTGAGCTGCAGCCTTCAAGTCTGAATCCCTCAGTCTGTTCCACTGTACTAGCTAGTGGGAGAAGGGGTCTGTTCTGCTCCACCGATAAGAGCACGTTCTACACCAGTGGTCACCAACCAGTTAATCACGATCGACTGGTCAATCCTAGAGGATCTCTCTTAGGGGCGGGGTAGATCTTGAGTTGCCCTTAAATTCAAAAAGTGATCTTGGGCATAAAAAGGTTGGAGACCACTGCTATACACAGTGATGCCAATTCCAGAGCAGCACAGTCTGTCTCTAAAGAGGGCCTGTAGTGAATTCTTCTCCAGGTGGGATTTTGCACTCCATGTCACTGCCATCCTGGAATCTTGGCATTTCTGTAGCCCCCTTCTCCCAAGCTCTCTCAGCACTGTACAGCTATCAGTTACTTAGTCCACAGCAGACCTGCGGCTAGGTTTTCTCACTATTTTACAGATGGGCAAACAGAGGTTTGGAGAGGGCTACTTGCCCAGGAACATGCAGGGCCAGAGTCAAGACTGGAACTCATCAGTCTTGGGTTCTGATCACTTGCTCTAACTGTTAGGCTTCACTGCTGCTCTAATCCTATGTCCTCAATTTTTCATGTTCCATGCACAATCTGTATCCTCTGTTCTAAGTGTATCTGAGCCCTCCTCTGCTACTCCTACCCCCTCTACCTAAGTGTCCTAAAATGGATTCAGACTTCCATCTCTCTCTGTTCTCTCCAGACTAAAGGTTATTCTGGGTCTCAGGTGCCCTCTTTTCGCCCATATCTGTTGGCTCTCCTAACTCACCAGTCCAGCTGGACAACATTGCACCAGTGCATCAGGATTCTGCTTTGCAAAAACCGGGAGCAAAGGTGAGTCTTTCAGATACCAATATTATATTTGCAGACGTTCCCTTCTTCCAAAGCTCTAGTGATTTGTAGACTCTATCGACTCAGGGCTATGGTGTCTCTAATCTCAAACTTGCTGTTGAATCTCAAACTTGCTGTTGAACCCATTGAAATTTTTCTGTCTTCTGGCAGGTTTGACCCGACTGCATCCTTAGATTTCTTGTGGGCCTGTATTCACATCCCTCGGATCTGGCAGGGAAGGGACCAGAGAACTCCTCAGGTAGTGGTTTAAATCCTTCATAGTCCCTCTCAGGATGGGAGAAGGGGATGTGCTTTTCACACTGGCCTGGTTTTCCATGATGTCTTGGGGGACCCTGGTGTATAATAGCAGATTTGCTGCCAGCACCCCAGCACGTTTGTAATCTCTTGTGCTAAGGTTTAACATGGAGATGGTGATTCACAGTTTTGGTTTAGAACTGATACAAATAAATGTAAATTTTCCCAGATGTAAAACTTTCACTGCAACAAAACAAGCGTCTGGTTGTAGCTCTTGCAGAGACTGTTAAGAGTTATAGTGAAAATGTAGCCACGTAGCTACATCTTTGCAGAACTAACTGTCCGGTAGGCAAGTACAGATGGAGTGAAAGAATAATTCCCCCCTTTGGGTTGGGAAGTGCAAGCTACCCCCAGTGGGGGAGCTCTTTGTCCAAGTTTGTGTAGTGGATGAATTGTCAGTTCCTTTCTAGCCAGATGCCAAGGGATGGAAGTCGATGCATTGTGAAAATTTGGGGTAGAGAAGGGAGGTGCAAAGCCCCTCATTTTGGGGGGGGGGGGGGGGAGGGAAGGGAGAGGGATTATATTTTGCCTGGTTTCCCATTCCTGGGCATGGTGCAATTTTTAAGCAAGGTACAAAGGGAGTTTTTGTCATGTAAAGGATTATCTTCCTGTTTGAGAGTGTGTGACTAAGGTTATTGGCCAGCCCTTGCCCCTGGCTTCACCTTGAGAGTGTTTGTGCTGTTACAGAAACGTCGAGAGGAGTTCGTGCTCCAGTTAAAGGCATCAGAGTTGATCAGTTTGGTTGAGCTGATCTTGGCTGAGTCCGAAACCAGAAGCCAGAATACAGAGGAAGCCTCCTGCACGCTCATCCAATCACGGTTACCCCTGTTGCTCAGCTGTTGTCATGGAGACCTAGAGAGTATTAAAAAAGTAACAGAGTATCTGACGGGCTGTATCCAGCAGTGGGGCAGCAGGTGAGGATGCAGAAACGAACGAACCTTGAGTCCATCGCACTCAGCAGTTACTTAGGTGGCTATTTGGGCAGCCACGTGACCCAAATGAGGCTTGCCAAGGCTGCTTTGCTAGGATCGCTGCATTTCAGAATGCATCTAGAAACTGCCCAGTATGTTACCTTCGTGTCAACTTAGAAACAGTTTGACTCTGAATGTGATACTCTGGTTATCTGTGTGTGTCTTTTCTGTAATTCAAGATCGAATTGCTCCATTTTACAACTCAAAAAGTGTGTTTCTAGCTGCCAGCCCTGCATCCACCCTCCCACCTCCCCAGAACTGGAAGTCAAGTGATGTTTTCTCTACCTGTGAAATCATCACTGGTAATCCATTCTGCAGCTGGAACTGAGCTGACTCTTTTGATGATTGTGCTGAAGGCGGAATGGAGCCCAGCCTGCTCTCTATAGCTATATGGGCTCTGCAGTGCTAACAGAAAGAGAGCACGTATATGTCAGTAAATCAAGCCAATCTAAATCCTGGACTCATCTATGGTAGAGCTGGAAAAGACTTTCTAGGTTATCTGGACTGTCCCCCTGCTGATGCAGGATGTGACTCAGCCATGTGGAGAGCAGGTGTGCTGAGTCAGAATGGGCCATTTTGTATAATCACTTTTTACTTTCATTACTTTTTAAATGAGGGATTCACTCTTTGATGGTAGGATTTGCATTTTTAACACTGATGTTGTGCAGAAACTCTGCTTTCTGGGACTTTAAGAGGGACTTACTGGTTGCCATATGCCCAGTGGCAGCTTTGCAATTGCAGTGCTTTCTGCTAGAGAATCGGAGGCAGTCTCACTGGAAAGCTCCGTGGAACTGCTCTGAAAAGCAGGCAGCTCTAAGGAGGCTATCTCAGAGTGAAGTGCTATTAAGTCAGCAGTACGGCGGTGGTTGTAGTTATTTGCCTCTAGCTGTTTAGGATGTGCAACTGGGGAGGAGCGGAGTGTGGATATTAAGGCCTCTGATCTGCATCAGACACTTTCTCCTTGGCCTAGGAATGTAACCGTGCATTGTCATCTCCTTTCTCTTTCAGCTCAGTGGGAAAACGCTGCCAGGACCTTCTTCTGCAGCTCTACCTGCAGCTGCCGGAGCTCCTTGTGCCCATGCCTGAGACACTGCTGACCAGGGAAGGGGCTGCAGACAGCAGTACCTGCAAAGTAAGGAGTAAAGGGACATAGAGGCAACAGAGTATGCTTCTCTGTTCTTTAAATCCATGTGATGAGCATGGGAGCTGAGTTGATAGGCAGGTTGCAAAAAGAACAAACACACTGCCTTGGACTGTAACCTTCTTCACCTTGATCCCATGTGGAGCTCCCACCTTTTGCTTCCCTTAACTCCAGAACACACTGGACTTTTAACATTTTGTCCTTGTCTAAACCCCAGCAATATAAAGACTGCAGGTATTTTCCTAAAAAAAGAAAAGGAGTACTCACTTCAAGTGAGCTGTAGCTCACGAAAGCTCATGCTCAAATAAATTGGTTAGTCTCTAAGGTGCCACAAGTACTCCTTTTCTTTTTGCGAATACAGACTAACACGGCTGTTACTCTGAAACCAGGTATTTTCCTGTGTGATATAAAGGCTTAATTAACATGCCTGCATTCTCCCAGGTTATGTTAGGCACCTTGTTATTATATGAGAAGCAGAAATGTTCAGCTCCTGCTTTCACAGATGGGAAAAATGAGGGACTTGGGACTGTAGATCCCTTGCTAGTTGGAAGGTTGATGGCTTACCTGAAAATCAAATTTAATTTTTTTTAACCCTCTCCCTACTTAAAAGGAAACGTGGAACCCCACCGATAGGCTGAAGACTTGCTCCTCCAGCTTCAAGCCATTGAACTTTGATTTATCAACTATGATTCTTTCTAGCTTGATGCCCTGGTTCACAGATTCATCACCCTCCTCGCAGAAGCCAGCGATTCCAAGTCAGCTGAGAGCCGTGTGTGGGATGCCAACATGGCATGCAGGAAGCTAGCTGTGGCTCACCCCATCCTTCTGCTTAGGTACTGCCCTTCTGGTCCTTCTCTTCACCAGGCCAGTGGCTGGAGCCTTTTCAGCTGGACCTCTGTGTCAGTATTAGCACTCACCCCAGAACGAGAACGACATTCCCACTGCAAACCTGATTATAGCACTGGAGCATGCTCCTGTGTATAAAAGAAATGCTATGAGCAGCAGACCCACTCAAGCCGTTTGCTGGCTGTCTCTCCTGATGAGGTGATGCCTCTGCTAGCAGAGGAGTCTTTTGGAGGTGGGCAGCGAAGAAGAGAAATGTGGTGGGAAGGGGAATTTGTCTGGTCGTGGACATAGGGATCAGAGCATGAAATCTTGCAGAGGCTGAGGAGAGGGATGAGCTGAATATCTTAGAGTTGATTCTGTTACACAGTTGCTCTGGAAGGGCTTTGGAATTTAATGCTTTACTTTTGCATTTCAGACACTTGCCAATGATCGCAGCTCTGCTTCATGGGCGGGTACATCTCAATTTCCAGGAGTTTCGGCAACAGAACCACCTGACTTTCTTCATCCATGTCCTGGGGATCCTGGAGCTGCTTCAGCCACAGGTGTTCCAGAGTGAGCACCAGGGGGCGCTATGGGACTGTCTTCTCTCCTTCATTCGCCTGCTACTGGTAGGAGAACATTACCCTTTACAGACTGCATACAGCCAGCCAACTACTAGGGGGAGAAGTTGGTATCTGACCATCTCAGGGTGCTGTGTGTCACACTTTACATGTGTGTATACTGTGTGTGCTTGTACGAATACATGTGCACGAACGGGGAGGGGAAGGACGTGTGGACTTTCAGGCTTCCCCTGGGTGTTAGTGGTTTCGGTTAAGTGTGGTCTCCCTCCATCCCTCCAGAATTACAGGAAGTCCTCACGTCATCTGGCTGCCTTCATTACCAAATTCGTCCAGTTCATTCACAAGTACATCACGTGCAATGCCCAGGCTGCTGTGTCTTTCCTGCAGAAACATTCTGACCCGCTCCAGTAAGTGTTCTATTCTGACCTTACTCCCATTGCTATGGTGCCCCCCCCCCCCCGCTGTGATTGCCCATCTACCTGGCATTACTTGGCTGCCAGCAAATTCAGTAGTTTTTGCTGATGCACAGGCAAAGGGCCATCTGTTGGGATTGCTGTCCACCTTAAATTGCTGGAGTCACAGTCTCCTAACCAGATAAGAAACAACAAGAGCAAAGTTACTATTGAGCTTTTATTACACTGCTTTTCCCTAGAGATTTCCATGTGCTTTTAAAAGGTACATGAGCAATAGTGTCCCTTTTACAGATGGGAAAATGAGGTACAGGACGGTTAAGAGACTGGCTGCAGCTCACAGAGACTCCAGGAATAGAGCCTAGGTTTCGTAACGCGCACACATAGGACACTGCATATTACCAGGCAGGCAGCAGCAGAGTTCTCCCCCAGACTAGTGGATACAGGGTCCCATCTGCAAGTACATGGGACAATATATTTTGGCCCCCCCTAGAGGGAGGGAGCTGGAGTTGCCATGCTGCTTCAGCAGTTCTGGCTACTGTCTGTTTTCTGTCTCGTCTGTTGACGCTTCTTTGTCCATTACTTGATTCCTCCTTCTCTACCCTTTATTCTCCTTCTCCCACAGTGACTGAAACTAATCTTTGTTCCTCTTCCCCACACGTTCACATTCATACATGTACCCTCAGCTTGTTCCTTTTCACTCCCGGATGTTGAGCTGATTGTTGCTGGTTTATGCCAGAGATGCCTTTTCTTTCACCATAGTGACCTGTCATCAGATAACAGTGACCTAGTGATGCTGAAATCTCTCCTGGCTGGGCTAAGCTTGCCCAGTAAGAGTGGTGTCTTGGACAGAGGCTCTGAAGAAGAAAAGGATGGTGAGTGTGTGTAACTCTTTGGGCTAGATCAATGATCCCCACCCCGTGCTATGTTTTGGAGTTCTGTTGCTTCTATGTGGACTTCAGTCTGAGCTCTGCATTCCCAGCTCTAATAGGACAGTGAAGGGGGGAAGGAAAGGAACTGAGGGTGAAGGTTGTGTCCTCATAGACATTCCTGTGAGGAACTGGTCAGCAGTAGTGAAACCAGTGCCTGGGAAGGGGTAAATACTGACTTCTCACTTGTTATAACTCTCGGAGCTTCCCAATGCAGTGGAATAGCAGCACCAAAGGTATATATTGCTAGGGAGTCTGCTCTCCTCTGCTTGTCTTCAGGCTAGCCCTTCAGGAAGATCTCCTAAGGATACATCTGCTCCTTCCCTACTCATAGACATCATCCTGACTTCTGATAGGATTGTCCCTTAGGAAATTCTGTGGGTGTTACAGGGGCTAAGGATAGTTACCTCTCCCTTTCCTCTCTGAGCAGATGCCCTGGTAAGGGGACAGTAGACAGTGATGTAATCTATTGACTGGGAATGCCAGATTCACCTTCATTTTAAATGTGCAGAGCATGCCTGGGAGTTAACTATTTCTCTCTGTCCCAGATGAAGCAGCTGCCGGCTCTCTGCCCCTGGTCAGTGTGTCCCTCTTCACTCCCCTCACTCCAGCGGAAATGGCCCCATACATGAAGAGACTCTCCAGGGGCCAGACTGTGGAGGGTAAGTGGAGACCGCTTTCCCAGAGCACCTCATAGACTTTACAGACAGGAATCACTCTACCCACCTCCTTTTGGCTGGAACATGGTAGCTGCTCCTAGCCACACTTCCCGAGAATGTTAGACCAGAACTACAGGAAGCATATAGACAAAAATCAGCTCAACTAGTATTTGGCTGGGACAGGAGAAGCTGGTTTGCAGCCATGAGCCCTGTGCAGGGACGCCACCAGCAGCCAGACAAGTTCATCTAGAATTGAAACCATAGCCTATAGTCTTCTAAACCATGCAGTCCCTGTAAGAGAAGCTGCAAATCTCCTAAAGCCAGTATGCATCTCATGAGCTAAACAAGGTTGAATCTGTTCTGTGTTTGGATGGGAGACCTCCCAGGACAATTTAGGTGCTCTGGGAAGTGATGTGGTTGATACGCTGAGTGGTACTTTGCTAAGGGTCAGTACTGAACCAGTGTCCCAGCACAGCATTTGGGGTGCTGTGTTGCTGGAAGTGCCGTCTTTTTGGATGAGATATAACATTTAAAGTTCCGGCTCCCCATTTTAGGTTATCAAAAATCCCCTTGTGCTCTCCACAGAAGTTCAGGCTGTTAGCATAGTATCCTAGGGAGCTACAGTTTGCTTCTCTAAGGTTCTTTTAATATCATTTACATCCAGTATTCTTCACTATCCTGATCTGGGACATTACTGTGTGGGGTTAGCCCACTGCTGCCCAACTCAGAAATAGGGAACAGGATCCCTACGTGTGCATGGTTTGCAGATTTGCTTGTCATGATGTTGCGGTATGAGGCCTTATATAAAGATCAGTCTCTGTTACAACTGAAATTGATCCAGAACTGAAACTTGCCACAGACAGCAATGCTAGCAGCTAATGCGGCCTCTGCTGGGGCAGTTCTGGAGGTGTTGATCCATAGTACAGAGCATCCTTCTAAGGTCCTCTTTGAAGCATCATCTCTGTCTTTTAGCTTTGCATGCCAGGTTAAGACTTTATAGCTCAGCAGAGGACTCTTGTGTTTGAGACAAATGTTCCTTTTGGAGCTTTGCGGACTCCGCTATGTTGAAAGGAAGGTTTACCCTTTTCCATCTGTGACTTTCCCCCCAGATATCCTGGAGGTGCTGAGTGATGTTGATGAGATGTCCAGACGGAGACCAGAAATTCTCTCCTTTTTTGCTGTGAGTATATGTAGCCCAGAAGTGGCCTTTGGAAATTCACTTGCTGTGATGGGGGATTCCTTGCAGCAGAGTCTACCTTGCACAGTTTATTCAGGTGGTGTTTTCCCTCTGCTTTATCAGGTCATTATCACGGTGTCTGTGGGTAGGCCAGTTGTGAGGAATTACCTTCTCAGTTAGTTTAGGCCTTCAACTGCTACATGAGTGTGTGCACTAAGCCATTTATACACGTGTGCTCTCTCACACACGCACACACACTTCCCCTCTCCTTCTCTCCATTACGCTGGGTCCCTGTCACCCCGTAATATCAGTCTAGAGAGAAAGGGGAACAGTTCTGCAGGAAAAACTTCGTGAGGGACTAGGGAAATGGATGTAGATCCAATTGTCCTGTTTAGAGCAAGAGAAAAACCCCTCTGGATGCTTAAAGCAATCACAACTGGCTGATCCTTCTTACAGATAGAAATCCCCTGCATGTGACCCTGGCTCAGCATTAACTTGCTGGATAGATGGTTAGCGGGCTGGAGCAGTGCCGCACAGGTGGTAATGTGAGCCTGAAGTGCTTGTTCTCAGTGTCGCCATGGGATCTCTTGCTGATCAGCCTTGTCTCCTCTCAGACTAACCTGCAAAGATTGATGAGCTCTTCAGAAGAGTCCTGCCGGAATCTGGCCTTCAGCCTGGCTCTGCGCTCAATTCAGAACAACCCCAGGTGAGAAATGGAGATATCCATGAATGTCAGGCTTCTCCTGAGTCACTTCCTCCTCTGTCAGCCATGTGCCCTGCATTGTCCTATGTACGGCTCTGACTCTTTCTTGCTCCCTTGATGCTAAGAGTGGGGATGCTAAGACGGTGCTATGTTTTGTTCCCAGCATTGCTGCTGATTTCCTCCCCACTTTCATGTACTGCCTTGGCAGCCGAGACTTTGAGGTGGTGCAGACAGCGCTGAGAAACCTTCCTGAATACACCCTTCTCTGCCAAGGTAGGTCTAGGCTTCTGCGTTTGCTGCTGCACACTCAGCTGTGAGAGGCTGGAAACTGATTTTTCCAGAGGATCTCCTTCAACTGCTTTCAGTGTTGGATTTATTTGTGTCTGTATTGGAAACTGGAATTTCCTGGGAAGATTCTCGCTAGACGTTGGTGCTTGGTTCGGTGCTATTTCCTGGCCTGCCCAGTGGCAGCTTCACTCTGAACGCCACGGAAGGAATTTATTGCGGGGACTCCCCATGTTGCCAGCATTGGCTTCTCTCTAACAGTTCTGATCATGTAGCAATTTTCCTCTTTGAGTTAAGGAGCTTTGTATTCATCAGATACTTGTCTGGAGTGTTAATTGTATGCCTGGGTGTGATGGTGTGTAGTTACTGCCTTTCCCCATCTGGAAAGTTTAAAACTTAGTTCCGCTGCACTGGTGTTTTCTCTTGCTGGGTCTAGTCCTAGCACTTCCTCTGTGCCGTATGATTGTTACTGGCAAGTCAGGACTGGTTAGACCAGTTCTCTTACCCTTCTCTTTTCCCCTTCGCAGAGCATGCAGCAGTGTTATTGCACAGGGCCTTTCTGGTTGGGATGTATGGACAAATAGACACCAGCTCGCAGATTTCAGAGGCCTTGAAGGTTCTGCATATGGAAGCCATGATGTGAACATCGATGCCCCAGGAACTGATTTGTCCAGTTGACTTGAATCGCTGTGAGGAAGCACTTTGTATTCCAGCCTGTGGGCTGGGGGGGACAAGAGAGAGTGATCGTGGAAGGCCAGCCTAAGCAGAAGGAGAGCTCATGCCTGGGGTCTGACTGAAGGAATACAGGGATAGATCCTACTTAGGACATCACTTCGGTGGGAGCAAAGGGGCTTCTAAGCATGGTGTATTACAAGGGACCACATCCTTGGGATCTTGGATGGTATTTACCACTTCCTGTTGGGCAGTGGCTATGACTTCAATCACCACCTCACATCCAGGAGACCATGGCATTTGGGGTAGGGGAAGGGAGAGTTGCCAGGGGGCTCTCTAAGCTTGTGACCTCTGGATTGTCCTTTGCATGTTGGAGGGAACACAGAAATCTGTACAGAGCAAGAGACTCAGTGTTACTGTTTGTGACTCCTTTTTAAATTAAAACTCTTCTAGTTCCTATTAGGCTCCCTGCTGGCATTACTGCTTTTCTGCGTTAGGCTCGGTCCTTCTCCGAGTCCCTCTCTAGGCTCTCTCTCCATCTTTCCTTTGGACGGCTGTTCCGCAAGACGGGACTTTTACAGAAAACCTAGTTGCAGCCCTCTACAGCCAAAGTGGACTCTTCCCCTTTGCCAGCAGCGTGCGTTTGTTCCTTGTTCCTTCTGCTGCACAAGCAGAAAACCATTCTGGAGGATATGGAGGTGGGCCCAGCCTCTGCCAGATTGACCTTCCGTGCTTGGGCCGTGGCAGCCAGAGCTGCCACATTAGGGATTGCTGTTCATTACTATTTTTGTATGTCAACAAAGGGTGCCTTGCTACGCCCACAGAAACCCCTCCATGGCAGCAGAGTATACACAGAAAGCATCTTTGATGATCCGACAACCATTTTCCCTTGGGTTCTGCCATTTACTTCGTGCACCAGTATCCCTGCAGGCAGACTCCTTATCTCCAGGTGGGAGGGCGGGCCGTGTGGCTTGGTCCTTCAGCGTGGATACCCATGACCGCAGGAGTGTGGGAGGAGCAGAGACTAGTAGGTTCCCCCCTCCCCTTACAATTAAGCACATCTTCTTAGTCTCTGCTTAATATGCTGGCGGTCCTATTTCCTTCCCCTTGGTCTCTTGCCATATCCCAGGAATGGTGTCAATGCAGTTTGGCTTAACGCAGTGTAATCAGTAATGACTAAGGTATGGCTCCTTTCACCTCTAGGTCTGCAGGTGGTAGAGATGGTCATTGCGCCCTGGTTGCTGTTGGGCAATGAAATGCGCTGGTGGGAGAAGTATGTTCCTCATTGACAAGGATGCACCACGCAGTTGGCTCGTTTGTTAGTATTCTCAGCAGAGAAGCCAAGACCTCAGGGTACGTCTACACTGCACAAAACAGTGTGTTCTTAACCCAAGTTAGCTAACCAGAGTTAAGAGCACTTTTTTCGGGTGTAGACATCGCCTAAACTACTCTCCCTCTGTCAGGGCTGAGGCCGCAGTGGGGAAGCCTGTACTGCCCCTGTCTTTTCTCTACCTGTTCTGAGGATAAGTAGAAGACTCCGCTCTCCACTGCTGTTAGTCTGGCATCTTTTCATGTGCCCTAGGGAAAATGTGAGGCACCTTTGGTGTCTCTCACCCAATTCTCTTCACTGGCTGGAGTTCACAGGGGAGGGGAACCCACTAAGAGAAGGCTAAAGCCGGGGGAGGTATCTAAAACCCCAGACAACTCTAACCACAGCCCATCAGTCTCTTACCTGGGCTTTTAAATAAAGAGATTAGAGCCATCAATTCATGATGCAATGTACTCCTGTTTTCCAGAGCATCTGCTTTACAACCAATGAAGGGGCTGTAACAGTTAACTAGAAATAAATTAAGTGAAGAAACAAGCTGAAGATCAAGTCAATAAAATAGTATGTTTTTTTCCTGAGGGTCTCAGTGACAGTGGGATTAATGCCCTGGGTTCGCATTTGAAAGGTTACAGATGAAATCTGTTGGCTATTCTGAACTTAGTCCCTTTATTGAGCATCATTAAAACCTCTTCACAGTTCATCACACTAAGCAGGTGTCTCCCCCAGTGGTATAGGTCAGGAATAGCCAGGAGGCTGCAGGGCAGGATTTGAGGAGCCATTGCAGAGTGGTTTGTGTCAGGTGGAGTGGGAATGTCTGGGGACGGTGACAGCAAGAGGGAGAGGAGGTTAGTAAGAAATACACTGGCCGAGCACTGGGTCAGCTTGTACCCCGCTCCTGAACCCCCCTGCAGAAAGGGTTAATTGAAAATCCCAAATGCAGAGTTGGATCTCAAAGTCTTTGTTCAAATGAATTAAACATTGAAATGGGCGAAAACAAACACCATGTTGTTGGTTGCATTTGCTAATTTGCCTCTGTTCATGAAACAAGGGGTCTCCCAGGTGTGTTTGGCAAACAGCCATGTTGCAGGTGTCCCAGTCTGGAATAGCAGAAGGTGTTTCCTGGCCACACTCTGGGTTCATTGGCAGAGATGGGTGTGTGGACAAACAAGATTGCTGGTAGAGTGCAGTGGGGGGCAGCTGCATTGCATGTGCCTGGCTTTGAACTGTTCCCTTTCGAGACCGGCAAGTTAGTTCAGAGGTGGAGGGAGTGTGAGAGGAAACGTGGGTGGCCAGGATGTGAATGGTGCAGTCACTTGATCTGGCAGGACAGCGGCAGCCCCTCTAGCCTAGCTGGAGTTCGTCTTTATCTCACTGAATAAGAGGCATCACTTATGACTTGCTGCCTTCTGTGCATTCCATTGAATCAACCCCTCCCATGCCTAGATCCTACGGCGATGGACACATTATAAATACTGGAGCCTATGAGAATACTGAGTTAGATGTTCCAGCTGCGATCTGTCGTTGAGGCTGGGAATGCAGTGCGGCTGCTGCGGCTGGGGACTAATAGGATCACTAATGCATGCCAGTATTAATGTTCAGGTTGAGTTCCCGGTGCTTTTAATTTGGGGGCTTTTGTGCGAGAGGTTTGAAGGCGAGGCACCTTGAAGTGCCAAGACAGCTCGAGGCGGGGAGTATGTTGCCGCTGGAGTGGAATGCAGGGATGATGGGCCTGCAGCCCAACCCCTCTTATCTGGGACGGGAGAAGTGACAGTTCAAAAATGGTTAGCGACGGCGTTACTGATGCAATGACACTGGCCCGCCTTTTAATCAGTGCTTGTTTATAACTGTGTTTCATCTCTGTCCGGCTGAGCTGGTTCTCTCCTCCCCTCCTCCAAGAGGGAGTAGCAGAGCTGAGCTAAACTGACAGCGCTATCCACTGCAGGCCTTATAAAGCCCTCTGCTTTGGGGAGAGTGATCTAAAAGCTCCCTTGGTAGAGAAGTGAGGGGAGAGGTTTATAAATGGTTCCATTTGTTGGGAATGGGGTGGATAGGTAGTTACTGGAGGAGCCCAGGATGGCCACAGTGGAATCACCACCGTGGTTCGTCTGCCTTGGGCTGAGGGTCTCTTCTGAGCAAAAACGCTAGAGAGAGGCACAGGTGCCAAACCAGCTTCCTCGAGCCTCTGCTCTGTGGCACTGAGCTTGTATGGAGGCACTGCCACGGGATTGAACGGCTCCCTTGAAAGCCCGTGGGCTGAGTTTGCTGCCTCCTGAGTGCTGTCAGCCTGGAGAGAAGTGTCTGAGCTCCAGAAGGGAACTCCCCTCCCAAGTGGGGCAGCCACCAGACACGCAGGGCTAGGGAGAGACGCTCAGTGACTTATAGACCACTAACATTTTACCTGCTATATCCCAGGTCTGTACACATGAACGCTTCTGCAGAAACTGCATCTGAACCATACGTTTGTTCAGTAGATAAATCCTTCTGAACCTGTCCCGTGAGAGGCAATCCAAGCTGAATTGCTTGCCCCGGGAAAGCAGGCGTGTTTGGTATCCGGTCATCTCTGTCGTGTTCAGCCTGTCGCTGGGTGCTGTGGTATCAGTGACGTGTAAACTGCTGGTTAACAGGTGACTAGGAGGCTTTTAACTGGCCCAGATTCTGAGCAAACCAGCTGCCTCCTGACAGGGGAGAAGTTGCTGGATATTGTGTGTGTCCTGCTCACCTGCCTGCTTTGCCTCATGCTGCCTTGGCTCTTTTCCATCGGGGTGAGCTGCTCTGGCCAACTGCTGCTGGAGGTGAGCGCCCCTTGCTGACCGTGTTTCCTGCTTTGAAGTCTGATGCCTGAGTGATTGGGCTCCCTCCTCCCTCTCAGCCCAGTCGCTTTTTGAAGGGATGTTTCAGCTTTACTCTGTAAATGATCCGGGACTGAATGCAGACAGCCTGGTGCAGGGGGATCAGTTACAGACAGTCTGAGAACACACAACTGGGAATGCTTCCCTGTCTCCAAGAGCTATGACTATCTGTTACCCGGGGACCCATCGAGAAGAGCCCCACGCTGGATCTGATATGGAAGTGGATAAGGATCTTTCCAAGGGCTCCCTGCTGCAATGAATTAATGCATTAAACTTCCACCTGATCTGGGGTCTGGGTTTAACTGTGGAACCATTGTAAAAGCCTAAGGAGGGCGGTGGTCTTGTTTTAGTCTCTGCCATTGCAAATGCTTTGCAGAACTGGCAGTGTCCCAAGGAGAGACCCCGGACTGGAATAGTAGGGGGTGAAGCTTATCGGACTTTAGGAGCAGTAGTAGAGCTGGGGGTCCAGACTGGCAGAGCTGGGTGCTTCAGATCAGAACTGATGTGCATTGGCAGCAGGGAGGGGGATACCTGTCTCTGGGACCAACTGGACTAGCGCCCAAAGGGGAACGGCCAAGAAACACCTCAGCCTTCCCCCGACTGCTTCCCTGGGGATCATAGCAGGGACTGGAACTAAGGTGCAGGTCTCTAGTCTCCTCCCACACCAGCAGAAGGTAGAGGAAGGAGCAAGAGCATCACTCTCCTGCCTCCAAGCACTGGAGAGAGCTGCTGCTGCTCAGTTATTGCTCTGCCTTGGGGCTGGAGCTCAATTCTTGCATTAGCCCCAGGGCGCCCTGGGGAAACACACAGTTCCCGCTACCTCACTGACACACAAGCATGGCCCTCCTGGGTTCAGGGCTCCCGGGGACAGGATTCGCCCACTCACCAGCCTGAGTAGCTAGGATTGCATGTGCCCATAGGATTTCCAGGTGGATTTGAGAGGACATGGTCAGTCAGGACCAAAGGGCAATGGTGGGAAAAGGGGATGCAGGTCCAGACATTCCATGTGTCTTTCCTATTTGAGGAGCGAGACTCTGTGTTGAGAGAGCCTTCTCCCGTCTTCCCTGCAGGTCTCTCACTGCACATCCTCCCCCAGCCCCCTTTCCATCCTGTGGTTTCTGGTTCTTGCATCCATGCCTGTGATTTCAGGACACCAGCCCCGTCCTTCATGCAGTCACTCTGGGCTGAGCAGCCCATACCTCGGCTGCACTCCAGTTTGCTTGTGTACCTAGGCTTGGTTGTGTATCTGCTCCAGAACAAGGGTCTCAGTATGTGGTCCCATAAGCTCCTTGCTTGCAGCTGGCAGAAATCCTATAAAAGCCTGCAGGCCTTTTTGCTTTTGCAGGTTAGTGGGAAGAGACAGTCTAGTGTAACCATTAAGCAGGGAGAGTGAGCGCTTTCTCACTGTCCCCTAGAGCAGTGCTTCTCAAACTATCTGATGTGGCGGACTGGCAGTTTTTTCCCCCCAATGTGCCTGGAACCGGTACCATATTTGCCAGGGACTGGTACCATATTTGTACCACATTATTATCATTTTCGCATAGGCACGTAGCACATCAGATCAGAAAAACTAACATTCTTCACTGTATTAATTGGAATGGGAGTGTGGCGTACATGTGGAGATGTTCCCATTTAAATACTTTGAAGACAGACTGAAAGGCTATGCGTCTGTGCGGATAATATAAAATGACTATTATTCGTTTATGATCCAAGAAAATATTATTTGAACATTCGTAGTAATATTAATTTATATCGGAAACAATATAATGAATACAATAAAAGTTGTCAGACATTTTAATTTTGTTTATTTTGTAAACAAATAATACAATATTACAATACAAATAAAAATATTTAAAAATCAAACCAGCAAAGTCTCCTAATAAAGATATTATAAAAAAATGTATTAACATAATAATAAGCATGTTAAAACCTTAGCCTTTACTAATGTGAAAGGTGAGCCTGCTTCTTTGTCAGTTTATCCAGTCGTGGTTCAACTGAGGACATTGCCACATGCAATGGAGAATGACTATCCATACTATTCCTGTACTTTGTCTTAATAACACTCATGGTTGAGAAGCCAGTCTCGCAGAGGTACGTTGAAGGAAATGGGAGAAGAGTTTTCAGAGCAATTTCAGTAAGCTCAGGATATTCTGCTTTCACTTTTATCCAAAAGGAAGCAAGTGATGTTGTAGTTTCGAAACTCATCTTCAATCTTTAGCCAGCAGCCAGCTCCAACAATTTATCCTCCATAGTGACCGTTAAGTCATCTTTCAGTGGAATAAACGGATTTCAGATCCATCCAGTCTTCCATGGATCTTCTTCTGCTGGAAAGTAAAACTCAAAATATTCTGCCAAATTTGTCGTGTTCACTGATGATATTTCGTAGAGATGTAACATCAAGGTCTTCACCTGCATCGGCGATGATTGTCGCTAAGTTGTGAAACATGTCATAACGATCTCTTGACACTCGACTCTTCCATGCTTTTAGCTTTCGTTTCTGTCTGTCGATCTTGTCTGCCATTGTAAGACATGAAGCCATCCTTCCCTGCATGGAGATTGTTAAAGATGGCAAAGATATCAGCCAAATAAGCCAACTAGGCTATCCAGTCCACATCTCGGAACAATTGTGACCAATTGGTTTTTGTCATGAAGAAACTCGGCAAGCTCGTTTCGGAGCTCAAATACTCTTGACAGGACTTTTCCCCTCGATAACCAACGTACATCGGCATGCAATAGGAGCTGTTTATGATCAGCTCCCATATCATCACATAATGCAGCGAATAGTCTTGAATTTAAAGCATTCGCCTTTACATGGTTCACAATTTTTATGACCTCGCTGAGCACACTGTTTAGTTCTGTTGACGTGTTTTTTTTTGTTGCAAGACTTTCTCGGTGAAGGAAGCAGTGTGTCGACGTGCATTCGGGTGCAAGTGCCTTAATCTGGGTAACGACTCCAGAATGCCGTCCTGTCATCACGGCAGCGCCATCAGAACATACGCCTACACAAAACTTGAAATCCAACCCACGTTTGTTAACGATGTAGTCGCTCACACTCTTGAACACTTCAGAACTAGTTGTTTTTGTTGGTAGTGAAGCAGAAAACAAAAACTCTTCCTTCAAATCACCCTCATGTTCAAAGCGCACGTACACCATCAGAATTGCTGTATTAGCAACATCTGTACATTCATCAAGCTGCAAAGAAAAGTACTTTGCTAATTTAATCTAGCCTATGAGCTGATCTTCCAGATAGTCAGCCAGATCGTGAATTCGTCGAGCTATAGTGTCATTTGAAAGTGGCACCTGAACCACTTTCTTTGCCACCAGCTCGCCCACCATTTCCATGCAAACATCTTTAATACCACCTATCGCTAGTGTCTCACCAGTTGTGTATGGCTTTTTAGCCTTAGCAACGCAAAGCGCTACTTTATAAGAAGCTCGCAAAGCACAAGTATTTATGTGTGACACTTCAAAGATCTGTTTCTGATGGCCTTTTAAATCAACATGCTTTCTTTTGAAGAACTCTTTCGGCTTTGAACTAATTTCATTGTTTTGTATTTAAATGCCTCTTGAGCTTTGACGGCTTCATTGCGTCGTTAGCCAACACATCACCACAAATAACACACTGCGGTTTTGGCAGTCCATCATCATTTGTGGCTACAAAACTGAACTGAATGTATGAGGCGTCTATTTCTGAGTAAAGCTAGTATGAATTCTTTTTGTTGACAATACTTCGGTTTCATTTACATTGGCGTCATCTGATTCAGAATTGCGTGTTCAGCAACCAGATGTCTCTGCTTGATAAATATGTCAATTGGGCCTCGCTTTGCCATCTGTAAATTAGGCATAAAAATAATTAATATAAATTCCATTACCACAGGTATATACTTAGTTTATGATATTAGGATGAAATCCAAATAAATGCAGTGGGAATGCTTTTATTGAGAAATATGTGCTGGGGAACATTGATTAATAGAACATTAATTAATGTTAGGATAAGAAGATAATATAAATGTTAAAATTAAATTGCAAACAGGATAATAATTGGAAAGTTAAGATGGTTTGAACATATGGAAAGAATGAATAATGAACATCAAAAATAAGATTTACCTGTCTGAAAGATATGGAGTGAGAAAGTGAGGAATTTCGAGAACTTCCTGGCAGAAACACGTAGGTTTGATTCTAGAAGAGGGGAAGGCTATAAGTAAGAACAATGAGAGCGTGTATGAAACAATATATGGATATGGAGGAAGCGAGGATGTTATGCTCATACGAAACACACGGGATCTTTTCGGGGGCAAAGGCAAATACGCCGCATTTATTGAAAATACAACAGTTAGCATATGCTTTTCAGTCACACATGCGTGCGCACACACACACACACTCCTGCCAGTTGTTGTTTAAAGTTACCAGTCTGTTGTAGCTTGAGGGAATCTAACGGTCAGTTAGATTGAGCACGAGTGAGGAGCTGGACTCTGTCAATTGCGATCCGATGCTCCAAGGCTTTGCAGGACTGAACCCAGAGTTCCATGGCAAAACACCCCAGCTTTATAGTTGTAAATTCCCATTTGAGTCCATGCATTTTGCAATGTCATCCTGCAATCATTAGTCCTTACGTGGTGTTAATCTTGGGGTTTTCTGCTGTTATCATTTGATGGTTATTGTCGGGCTTCCCATCATTATCTCCTATTTGTTGTCTCGCCTTCAGGGGTGCCTGTCTCACCTCTGAGGTCGTCAATGCTGCAAACATGTTTAGCATCCGATACAGTGGATGTTTTCTGATTGTCTCCTGGTCTTTCCAAGTCTCACTTTTTCTTTCAGAGTAGCAGCCGTGTTAGTCTGCATCCGCAAAAAGAAAAGGAGTACTTGTGGCACCTTAGAGACTAACAAATTTATTTGAGCATGAGCTTTCATGAGCTACAGCTCACTTCACCAGATGCATGCAGTGGAAAATACAGTAGGGGGATTTTATATACACCGAGAACATGAAACAATGGGTGTTACTATACACACTGTAACGAGAGTGATCAGGTAAGATGAGCTATTACCAGCAAGAGAGGAAAAAAAAACCTTTTGTAGTGATAATCAAGGTGGGGCATTTCTAGCAGTTGACAAGAACATGTGAGGAACAGTAGGGGGGAAAAATAAACATGGGGAAATAGTTTTACTTTGTGTAATGACACATCTACTCCCAGGCTTTATTCAAGTCTAATTTAATGGTGTCCAGTAAATTCTACCCTCCCCCCCGCGCCCCCCCCCCAGTGTAGACAGTGCTAGGTCAATGGAAGAATTCTTCCATTGACCTAGCGACAGCGATGGAGAAGCCCTCTAGTCACTGGAGTGTCTGCATTGAAGCGCTGCTGTAGTGATTTATGTGTAGATGTAGCCTTAGGAAGGAGGCTGTGAGAGAAACTGACATGGAAACAGCAGCAGGTTTGATGGTAAACTCTGAGGCAGGCACAGCTGAGGCTGGCTCTGTCCCTCTCCTCTCTTTTAAAGCCTCTTAGAGCTGTGGTGTGATGGGCTACAGCCAGGGTGGCAGGGAAAGTAGGGTGCAAATTCTCTGCCCCTCAACTTTTCCTCTAGTCCTATAGCACACCTAGCACGTCTAGTTCTGCCCTAGCTCTGCTCATCCATCTCAGTCCTGTCCTGCAGCACCCCCCATTCTCTCTCTCTCCTTCCTCTGCTCCTTTTCTTCCCTCTTCCCCACCCATATCTCCTAGCTCTGTCCTTTCCAGTCTGCCATGGCCTCCTTCCTGCTGTATCCCCCCTCCACCCCCACAACTGTCTTACCCTCTGTTCCCTTTCCCCCCATTCCTGCTCCCTCTGTTCAGTGTTTCTAAAGCCTCCCCGATTAGCAGGACTCCCTGTTGCCCAGCTCAGCTTTCAGCCTGTCCCCTTTCAAAGAAAGGCAAATTCCTTCTCCAGGAGACCAGGTATCACTCCTTCATTGTTGCAGCAATGGCGGGGTTACACATCCTCCCGCAAACAGCAGGCCACGGCAGCGAAGGCTTCCCGTGACAGTGATGATTTCTCTCTCAAGAAAACTAACCGTAGTTTTTATTCGATCGTTCACTCCCACTGCAGCTTCAGAGTGAGACGTCAGTACCCACAATAGGATCAAAACGAAATCAAGGGGTAATCATTCAGGCATTGCCCTGGACTTAGCAGTAGTTCAGACTCTGCTGGTGGCTGGCCATTCGTACAAGCCTGTGCCCCAGTTACTGCCCTCCAGCCGGTTCCAAGGCCCAGTGAGTGGAGTGTGATCCCTCAAGCTATAAAGATTTACTGGCTTCAAAGCAGAGCTTTCTCTGCAGCTTCCCCGCGCTTTCAGCTGACTGAAAGTACCCGTGCGGAGTTAGGGTGTTGCAATATGGTGCGTGCTCAGCACTTACATCCATTGCAGTGTGGTTGGAGCCATAGTGGTCCCACGACATGAGAGGAGACCAGCTGGGTGAGGTTATATCTTCTGTTGGTGGAAGAGACCAAAGCTCGAAAGCTTGTCTCTTCCATCCACTTGTGTCTATGTCGTTCAGGGCCACCACTTTGGGAGGAGGTTACTTTCTGCTCTTTGGTGTTCTTTGCTTTGCCTTCCGAGCTCTGCGCTTCTGCATTCAGGGTGTGTTTCTGCTAGAGCTGGGATCCCCTCCTGCCTGAAGAAGGCACATGTCCTAGTAGAGAGGAGGCTCGTGAAGGGGAACAAGGAGCTAAACTGCAATCAGTCCAGTGGCCTGACCTAGCGGCTGCAGAGAATATAGTATGTATTCCCTGCATTGAAGCACTGTTACAGCTCAGGAGGATAATCTCTCCTCCCTTCTCCAGGCTGCACTGGCTTCTGGGCTTTGCCCATGGAAGGGAAGAAGAAATTGTCCATTGTTCTGATTTTATCAGTGAAATCTCGAAGTTCTCCACCTCCGAGCCATGGGAAATGGCAACAATCCATTAGGTCACCTGGCCCCTCCTCCTCCTGCTGCTGCAAGATCCTTTGTTACAGAACATGCCCAAGTTCATTCTCTAACTGTTTGGAAACGTCCCAGATGAGGAAGCTCCCACTGCTTCCCTTGGGAGACTATTCTATGGGCTAATTAGGCCAGGAATGGTATCCAACCTTCACTCCCCTCCCCAATCCTGTATGTGGTACAACATTAAAATCACCCCATGGCCAGAAGTGGGTTGTTTAGACCTACTGGGAGGCTGATAGCACCACCATGTGCCTATGGTGTCCGGGAAAACAGATGTTGCTCTGAATACAGTGGGAGTTGTGGGGGAGCCAAGTGGGGTGAACAACGGGGGAATGGGCCAAGAGATGGGGAGGGGGAGATCTCTGTAATCGAGAGCTCTTGCATAACAACCTGGCTTGTGTCTACACCTCAGGCCACCACACGCATTTCCTCTAGTTGGATGGGGTGGATCAATTGTTCCCTGGCTGTTTAGCACCTAGCATGTTTGAAGCCTGCAGCTGTGCTCAGAGTGGGCATGTGACCAGCTTCCTTTGGTCAGCTGAGGGCTGTCATTCGTTCCTTGGCAACTGAGCTGAAGTTGGGGGAGGAGGAAAGTGCTCTAAGCAGGCACTATCTTGTACTGCTCTTAGGTGGCCTGGAGTTAGCAGGACAGAGAGAGGCCATCCGTCTGTCAGCAGTGGGGTGTCCATGCTGGGGAGGGGAGGCATCAATTTGGTAAATGGAAGTAATTGAATTAGTTGCTCTCAGCTAGGTGCCACTTGGGATGTGGTTACAGTTCAAACTCCGACCCAGCGAGAGGGCACTCTCCGAGCTCCAGGGATGTGACCCAACCACTTTCAAAGGCTGGCAGGAAGGGACCCTGAAGGGAGGTGGGGTGGCGTGGCAGTTCGGAAAGGGAAAGCTACAAGAGACAAACAAACCCTTGTGCCTCCCCGTGACTAGGGGACTTTCTGAGGAAAGGCTCGCAAGCTGCTTGCTGGCTCTGAGCCCCGTGTTCAGTTCTGGAGGGAATCACTAGCCCAGCGGAGCCAGCTGAGAGAAGTAAGCCTGAGTCACTACAGAGTCTCATCTTTCACTGACAACAGCCCTCGCCATAAAAGGGAGGGGTAATTCTTTGTATGATGATCAATCAAACCTGAACTGCTGGCTCCTGGACCCAGCCCTCTCTAGAATTCTGGGAGCCTCAGAAGTCCGGGTAGCTATGGCATGTCATCGTAGCAGCGTGAAGATTGATACCAGACAGCCTGCAAGGCTCTTGTGTGCTCCCTAAGGTGCTGGCACATTTAATCTTGGAGACCTCAAGAATTTAAGCTGCACTACCCAAATAGTGCAAAGACCAAGTTCCTCAGGCTCAAGACACTGTATTCCTGCTGTAGCCATCCCAGCATTTTGAGGCACGTTTCCACAGGCTTTGTTTTCCTGGTCACATTCCCATTCCTTTGTCTCCAGATGTGTCTGCCCCATAGACTTGGGCTGCATCTAGCTCTTAGGCCCTCGCCAGCCTAAACCACGTTCTCTGTTGCTTGCTGCTTTTTCGTCTCCCATCTCTAGTCACAAACACCTCGGGGGCTGTAGCTGCACCCACGCCCTGGCCTCTAACTGCTCCCAGGCCTTTGCCTCTGTAATCCAGTGGCCTCTGTTCTCAGATTCTGCTTCCTCTAGCCAACCATGCTCTCAGTCCTCTATTCATACTTCTGAGTTTCTTCTCCCCCTGCTCCAATGAGCTCTGGTCTCCGCTGTCTCTTGTCTTCATTTCTAGTCACTAACAGTTTGTTCTTGCTGGACACACTGTCATTAGTTACTTTTTTAATTCTTCCTACAAATCCACAAGAGCAAAATTAATACCGTAGCTGTTGGAGAAGCTGTGCAAAATCCAGCTGGAAATAAACAGTAGGAGAAATGCCCAGTAATCTTAGGCCTGGGGTAATTCTGGAAGGCAGAATATCCTGGCTTTGTGGGATTTCATTCCCTTGCTCCGTGTTCCCAACAGAGAAATTTAGAGTAATCTGTGCAAATGGAGAGACAGCGATGGAGACAGGAGAGCTGCAGGAGAATCTGTTCTTGACTGGAAAGCTTGGGGCTCTCCCTCCATAGTGAACATGATACCATGTAAAGTGGAGATAGCTTCAGATGTCTCATTTGGCTCAGCTGAAATCTTGGTGGCAGTTCTTCCTGTCTCCTGTTTAGAGAGAGCTCTGTGAACTCCTCTTGCAGATGAGACAGCTTTTCTGGGTCACTGCTAGGGAGCCATTAGTGGGAATATTTACTTGGAAATTCAATCCCTGCTCACGCTCCCCTCTAATTGATTGAAGAGTTTCTTTGAAGTGAAGAAGTTAATTTAGTGTCTGAATAGGGGAGGGGAAAGGAGGGCCTTGGAAAAGAGGCTTCAGGTAAGAAGTTTCTTTATTTCACACCTGCTGGAGACAAGTGGGTGATCAGAGACTGTCTGCAGTTTGCCTCCTACATGGACACACCTGGGAAAGTCCAGACCAGCTCTCGGTTTCACTGGACATGACTGGGTCAGCAGAGACCCCTCCCCGACCACCACAGTAATTTAATTGGAACCTCACATTTAGTTTTTTGGGGGGAAAGATAGCAGGGTGGGGACCAATCTCCACTTTGTTCCTGGACATACCTGGATTAACAGAGACAGCTCAAATCCTCCAGTACACCTGAACTCACCTGTCCAAGACTTAGCCAGCTCTGCAGATCTCTGAATCACTCTGTGCAGGTAAGATGGGGAGGATTTCGGTGGGGAAAAGGTGCTCTGAGAGTGGGGGTGAGGTGGGGGGGCATTTCTAGTGTTTTGCCCATTGAAATTCATCTTCCTCTACAGCTTCTGTGACTTCGGACTCCTCTGGAGCAGAGTCTGGTGCAAATTGTGTCAAAATTGCCATGTTCCTAATGGCTGTTCCCTCCTTTGGGGCTGACATAGCCTCTCAAAAAGGGGGTGTACAGTGCAGTGCTAAGGGAAGAGGGGATCCTGTTGGTTCTGGAGTGGGACTTTACTCTCCTCAGCATGGTAAATGTTCAGGAATATCAATGTACACTTAATGCTGAGGAGTGAAGGGGTGAAATTCGCTTTGGGGAGGGGCATTTCCTTTCCCCTGCCTGTGCAGACGAACTCATTTATCTTTCTCTTCCCCCCTCTTTCTCTTCCCCTCCCCCCCAAATTACCAAAATCGCACTGGTAATTTATCCTCTCCGAATTTCATGTCAGTGGGGTTTGCTGGAGGGTGGAGTTTGGGCTCCTTTGTGGTCACAGTGTAAACTATTGAGTGACTATTTGGAGTCATCTAGCCAGCTGTAGGTGCTATGTAAGTAACAAAACAAAAATTTGGCATGGTTTTCTTTAGGGATGGGCAAGGTGGTTTGGAGAGAGAACCGGCCTGTCTGTCTCTCCCTGCTAGAAACCTTGAATTGACCCCAGAAGTGCTCTGAGGCTGAAGAGATCTCTCTTCACCTTTAATATTCCACATGTACTGGCTTTGGCTGGGCCCTGAATATTGCAGTATCGGGAGTCTATTCTGATGTTGCCTCTGAGCCGACAAACAAGCAGGGTGTAGTGCAGCCATGATTCTCTGGCAGCCATGAGCTGAACAGGATTATGCTCCCTCCACAGGAGTTTCAGGTGAGCGAGGTCTGGATCATTGTGGTTGCATGTGACCATCAGCCTTTGAAGTCTGGTTGTCCCAACTTCAAGAGCCAGCTATGGCTTCCCCGGCAGAGCCAGCCAGCTCACCAGGACATCAGTATGAACCATATGCTGCAATGTCAATCCTTCATTCGAGTTTTGGGTGCAGTAATCCTGCTCAACCCTCTGGCCTTGTTGAAGGTGGTTGGTGCGCTCCCTTGGGGGAGTGGGAAAGCAGACAGCAGGCTCTGAAGTCTCCTTCAGGAGTAAGAAACCCTGTGGTCTTCAGGCTTCTAAGCCAGCTCTCCCCATTATCCAAACCCCCCCCCCCAACAAAAGAGAACCCCTCCTGCTTCAGAGCATGACCCACCACTAGCTGATGGAGGTCAGGAAGATACGTTTCCCATGAGCAAGTCATTCCAGAGTATCTTTGTTTGGGGCTTCTCACTCCTTTCTCTGCAGCATCTGGCTACTGGAACAATGTCTCCCTGGTTAATCTGGACTGCAGCATAACTGGAGTCAGGTCTCCTCAATGGGCAAGGCTCTTTCACATTCCCCTTCCCCTCCGGTGGATGAGTGGGATTCTCACGGGCCAGAAGAGTAGGAATCCTCCACCTGTCTCCTTTCCACCCAGGTGCAGCAGCTCTGCTCGTGTCCCTAGTTGGAGGATGTTCGGCTCAGAATACATGGTGTCCTCGCTCCCGGCTGCATCTCGCTTCTACGGCCCTGCTTTTTCAGCCCAGCTCGCATCCGCTCCTGTCTGCAGCCTCTTCCTCCCAGCTCCCCTTTTCAGCTACCAGCTCTTCCAGCCCTGCAGCCCTCCGGAGCCCTGCAAACAAGCACTGCTGCTGGCAAGCCAAGATGCAGGTTTGGGGGAGCTGGGGGACTTCTCAGGTAAGCTAGACAAAGGGACCCCAGGGGATGGGTAAATTCCCCAGTTTCCAGCAAGACGCACAGTCCTTGCTTTGAGCCCCTGGAAGGTCCCGAGATACCGGAATTTAAAATCGTTGTGATGCGATTGTGTAGGAGAAGAGTTCAGTTTGGGGACTTCTCAGGTAAGCTAGATGAAGGGACCCCAGGGGATGGGTAAATTCCCCAGTTTCCAGCAAGACGCACAGTCCTTGCTTTGAGCCCCTGGAAGGTCCCGAGATACCGGAATTTAAAATCGTTGTGATGCGATTGTGTAGGAGAAGAGTTCAGTTTAGAGACTTCTAAAATGTGTTGGTTTGTTGTTATCCCCTCCCTCTAGATCAGAGGTGGGAAAACTACGGCCTCCGGGCCATATCCGGCCCGCAGGACTCTCCTGCCCGGCCCCTGAGCTCCTGGCCCCGGAGGCTCGCCCCCGGCCCCTCCCTTGCTGGCGCCATGCTCTGAGCCGCAGCACAGCTGCAGAGCCGCGGCCTGAGCCGGTGCTCGGTGCTGCGCGGTGGCGTGGCTGGCTCCAGCTGGGTGGTGCGGCTGCCTGCCCTGGTGCTCCAGGCAGCGCGGTAAGGGGGCAGGGAGTTCAGGGCAGTGGTCAGGGGGCATGGCTAGGGGTTGGGGCAGTCAGAGGGCAGGGAACAAGGGGGTTGAATGGGGGCAAGGGTCCCGGGTAGGCAGTCAGGAAGGAGAGGGGGGGTTGGATGGGGTGGCGGGGGGCAGTCAGGGCAGGGATTCTGGGGGAGGTCAGGGAGAAGGGGTGGTTGGATGGGGCAGGGGTCTGGGGGGGGGAGTGGTCAGGAATGAGAGGAGGGGTTGGATCTGGTGGCGGGGGCTCCCAGGGGGGCCATCAGGGGACAGGGAATGGGGGCAGGAGCCAGGCCATGCCTGGCTGTTTGGGGAGGCACAGCCTCCCCTAACCGGCCCTCCATACAATTTCGGAAACCCGACGTGGCCCTCAGGCCAAAAAGTTTGCCCGCCCTGCTCTAGACCTTACCTAGCTGGACCCCGGGTACTAAGTGGAAGGATACAAAAAATAGTGCTAATAACCCCCCCCAAATAAATCCCACCCTGCCTTAAAAGATTTCTCCACTCTGCATCGTATGTGGGATGAAGATGTCACTGGCCCCAGGAACCGGCTGTGCTCACTGGTGGTGTTAGGTGCCCATCTTCCCCCGGGCCAGCCCTTCTGCCCAGCCCCAGAGCACACGCTGCCATGCCCAGGCTTTACAAGTGGGGTTATTTCCTTAACAGAGGTTAGCGAACAACCAGAAAACAGCCTTTTAACTCATTCCGTAGCCTCAGGCTTCAGGCTGTCTTGCTCCTGGCAGTTTCCCAGTCTGAGTTTTGCTGGAGCAACAGCCCCAGGGCTGCTTCCATGAGCCCCTGACCCCTCGCTCTGGGGACCCACCACAGGAGTTAGCTCCACTCTGGTGTGGCTTTCCTTCCCCAAGGCGCAGCCTGTCTCAATCCAGCTGCCACAAGCAGCCCGTGATAGGCCCAGGTGTAGCTTAGCCTCTTTAATTGGCTGGATTGGGTGCATCTGTTCTGGTCCAGGGGAGCTGGGCTCCGTGTATCCATGGGAACCAGCTATCCTGTAACACCCTCCCAAGCTCAAGCAGGCCGTCTCTTTGTTCCATGTTTGTGCAGCCCCTAGCACGGTGGGTCTTGGTCCCTGGCTGGGGTTCCAGGGCACTACCGCTAAACCGATGAGAACCTCAGGGCCACCCATCCCATCCTAAATACGTTCGAGATCGTGAAGCGCTCAGACACTACGTGAAATAGCCCAGACAAAATCAGCTGAATGAAATCTAGACACTGAGGAGTGGAAGGCTTTTTAGACTTACAATAAATTGAACAGCAAGTCTCTTGAGGGGTCTCCTCTCCTCACGTGGTTGATTGAAAGGTCTCTGTCGCGATGATGAGAGCCAAAGGCCCTGGGTAAGGGGATAGGCTGTGCCAGGGAGAGCCCGGAGCTAATTCTTCATCAGGGGCTGGTGGTGAAGAGGGATGGACAGTGCCCAGTGGAGGGGGCAGGGCTAGCATGGTGCCCAGTGAAGTGTACCGCCCACGCTTTGTGCCCCTAAGCTGGTCTGGTGAGTGGTACTAGCTCATTTGGAGTCGCTGTGGCTTTTCTCCAGAGGAAGCTCGCCCGCAGAAGCAGAGACGAGCCCGAGCCAATTACAGCAGCTGGCAGCTGGAGGAGCTGGAATCAGCCTTTGAGACCACGCGCTACCCTGACGTCTTCATGAGGGAGGCCCTAGCCCTCCGGCTAGACCTGATAGAGGCCAGGGTTCAGGTACCGGATGCTCACGGGGTACTGCGCTCCAGGCTAGTGTTTGATAGCATCTTGCCCTTGTCTGCAGAGCTTAAAATGAACTTCTCTCCCCGACCTCCTGGCTGGGAGGGCAGCTCATTGAACCCAGCCTCTCGGGTTGCTGGGCAGGGGGCTAGGACTTTGCTGCAGGAGGCTCTGTCACTTCCTGTTTGCTCTGATCTTCGCTGTGCTTATTCCCAGCCCTGTCGATGTTCCAGCCCCATTGGCACTGGTGCCCGAGGAACCCACCTCGGACCAGGGAAGGTAAGAGGTGGGAGGGAACCTTTAAACGTTGGGCTCAGCTCTGCCTGCCTGTTGGCTCTGGTAGTAGTAACTCTGCAGCCACAGGTCATGGGGGAGAGCTAGAGTAAGGATCCGTCTCCTCTCAGGGTTGGGAAATGGTTGAAGTGGGGATGTTGCCCAGCTGCATGGTGGGGAAAGTGTGTGTTTGTGGGATCTACCCAGCATGGCCCCTGCTCTCTCTCCTGTGTTTCCCCTCTCTTCACCTCGGCTTTGACAGCTGCCCTGATCTGAGCTGGGCCATTGTTTACCATGTCTCTGGAGAACAAGGGTGGTGGATCCCTCCCATTTCTGGAGGGTCTGGGGTGGGGAAATGAGGCTTGAGACCCATTGTCAGGCTCAGAGTAAGAGAGCTGCTCATGTCCCCCGGTTTCTCTGCAGCCCCAGCTCGTGAAGGAGGGAGTGGTGCACAGGGAGCCCGTGTGAAAGTGTCCAGTTCCTTGGTGGAGGGGGTAAAGGGGATTAGGATTCTCCTTCTAGAACTGGCTGTCAGCTCGGGAATCTGCTGTGAGCATTACGTGCGCGTTAGAGGGACACTTCTGCAATGAGATTTTTCCCTGTTATGTGACATGACCTGAAATTTCTGTTTTGGTTTAAAACCTTCACTTGTATAACCATCTCTGTCTGGATTCCTGGAGCTACAGCTCCCCCAGAGGAACCTGGGGAGACAGATGCAGGATGGATGCTTTATAAACCCCATGCTTTCCAGTTTGCCAGCAGCACGTGAGAGTGCAGCAGGCAAAAAGATGGTTAGTTAATGCCTGTTTTCCTTTGGGTTTCCCTAGGTTTGGTTCCAGAACCGCAGGGCGAAGCTGAGGAGACAACTGAAACTGCAGGGACGAGCTCTGGACCGAGCTCTCACTAGGGACTTGTCTGTCTCAGGACACAAGAAGCCCCAAGCCCCCCAGGAAATCGAAGGTTCAAGTAAGAGCTCTAGAGTTGGAACACTGGAAGGAGACTCAGATCACTGGCCAAGCACTGGCCCCAAAGGGCAGCCTCCTCCTGGACCTCCCCTGTGCAGGGGAGCTGAGGCCACCGGGGCGGCCACAGCCAGAGGAAATTTGCTCCTGCAGCACCCCCAGCTTGTGGGTCAAGGCACAAGAGTATGAGGCTGTAATTGACCCCCACTGCAGCTCAGGAGCAGCCTGACTCAGAACCAGACCCAGCAGAGCTCTGGGCATACATGGATAGTGCCTGAAACTGATCCTGACATCAGTCCCCCTTCCCGTACCTCTCCAACCTCTGGGCCTTGGACCTTTGCTCCCAAACAAAGACCGTATCCATTTCTTCAGGGGGCTATAGTCACCATGAATGGAGCAGGGAGCATCAGAGGCATTATAGGGGCTTCCCAAGCCCACTGTGGGCTGTTGTCCAGCCTTGTCCATCTCTGATCACCCTTGGTGCCTCCCTGTTTGGTAGCTGTTGCCTGAACTCCTTTCTCTCTGATTGGCATCTGCATTACACTTCCCAGCACCTGCACTCAACTGGGACAACAGCATGTGCAGAGACTTTGGGTCTAAGATACCCTGGTTAAAATCCTTCCATATTTGACCAGGGACAGACCCATCCCCTTCTCCAGGCTTATTTCTCAGGATCCCTTCACTAGAACACATGCATTAGCGCATCGTTAGCAGGGGGATGTCACCTCTCTACTCTGGGTTGTCTTCTTCAAATTAAGCTACTTTTGTCATAGGCTCTGATCCAATGAGCCTGTGTTTGGTAGGGTTGCCAATTTTGATTGGATGTATTCTTGGAGGTTTCATCACATGACATAATCTTTAATTAAAGATTAATTCCTGGAGAGTCCAGGGCAATCCTGGATGGTTGGCACACTGTTGGATGCTTAGCTGGGGCCTTGGAGCCCTTAAGCAATAGAATGGGAGAAGTATGAAGCAGGCAGACTCCTGCTCTTCACACTGTAGCATGGCTCTTGGGACCATGTGGAGTTCTCACCTGCTGTCCAGAGCCAGGTAGGGTGACCAGATATCCTGATATTGTCAGGCCTGTCCCATTATTAGGAGCTTTGTCTTATATATGCAACTATCCCTCCCCCTGGAAAAAAGTGTCCCGATTTTTCACACTTGCTATCTGGTCACCCTAGAGCTAGGGTCCCTTTCCATTGTTCAACTCGGTGCCTTGTGGCTTCCTGGCTATTCCCTCCCCTCTATACCTCCCACGACCACTAGAGGGCCTTGAGGTTCTGCCAGGTGTTACAGCTCCTTAGAAGGTGCCTGAGCTGTGTGTGCTGGGGGAGACCATGATTCCTCTAAATTCACCAGTGGCTGGACGTTTGTTTCTAGTCAAACGCTGTGAGGTGCTGATGTGCGGGAGATTCCAGAGGAGTGTCGTGAGGTGGGGGGTTGGTATTAACCAGAGCTAGCTGCTTGACAGAGGCATAGCATCTGTCCTTCCAGTCCTCCCACTGTCTGTAAAGGGCTGCGGGGAGTATCTGAAGCAGCTTCTGAGGATGAGGAAGGGAAACAAAAGTCTGACTTCTCTGCAGTCTGGCTGAGCCAATGTCATTGGTCCTAGCATAGGGCTAGTGGGCGGGGGGGAAGGTGAGCCCCTTTGTTCCCATCGATTCTTTCCCATCAGTCTGGTCAAAATGCTCCAGCATAGCCACGGACAGAGGAGACAGACTGTACTCTGAGGGCCAATTCTGCATTGGCTGTGGGGACCAGAGACCGTTCCGTCCCCTAGAAGCTCATGATCCTGTGATGAATGGAAAGGGGCACGAGAAGTAAAGTAAGATGAAAGAGGAAGCACAATACATTGCTCAACCAGACTCAATAAGCTGGCACTCTTCCCTGTTCATGGTCTCTACCACCAGCTTTCTGGTGTCAGATGCGGAGCAGAAGTATTGGATTATTAGAGATGCTGCTGCCTTTAAAGTGATTTGCTTTTTCTTCCTGTTGGATGATGATCAAATAAGTCCTAGAAAATAAACTGGTTCATAGAACTGTTCTAGAGTCACACGGTGTATTGTGGAAACTCCCTCTCTGTCCCCCACTGATCAGAGAGCAAAGACACTAGGCCAGGAATATGAGTCAGACGTGGGCTAAGAATCATGTGTTCCTGTCTCAAGTTGCCCAGCGCGCAGAAGTGAAGAAATACGTTTCCAAAGGCAGAGCTGATGGGAGAAAGGAAAGTTTTGAGCTGAGCAATAACAACAGAGCAGCCTGTAACGCTACTTGCAGGATACACATGCTGTATGAGTGGCATTCAGTGCCCAAGAGCCAGATGGCTGAATGATAACAGAGCTCATTACCTGTGCACATGTAAATGCCCGTGTGCCCATGTATAGGGGAGTGTCTGTCAGCATGCATGTACTCATATGTTTGCAGGCCGGCACACACATGTAAGCATATGAGCAAGCGTCTCCATTCAGGGCCTTCTTTCAGGGGAATCTGTGTGCTGGGGAAAAGATTCACGCCAGATTTTACTGCTATTATGGCCCTGCCTGTATGAATCTCTTCCCAGTCAAAAGGCTGCTCTCCGACAATCGGCAGGGCAGGGGCTGTCTCTTGGTTGTGTGTTTGTACAGTGCCTAGCACAGAGGGGTCCTGGTGGGGCACTATCTCCATACAGCTAATAAATAATAGGAACCACTGCTTCAGCTTCAGTCCTTTTGTTGACATCTCATCTTACTTCCCCCATCTCTTCCTGCCCTCAGATTCCCAGTGCTGCTATGTGGCTGTTCTGATGCATTTGCTTCTTCACACTCACGCCAGCTACGTTTGCTGCTGTACAACTGCAGGGGCAATCCCATCGACTCCATTGTTTCAGGACCGACCCCGATCGTTTGAATGGTGTTTCCGTCTGATTAGTTGTCCGTTGGCCAAATATTCAAATTCTGACCTCCCTTTGTGCCCAGGCAGTCACTTGCATGTGTGAGGGAAAGGGCAGGCAAAGCCCACCTGTGCATACTCATCCAGCACAGAAGGGGTTTTACAAATGGAAATTCTGCTGCTTGTGTGTGTGTGTGTGACAGCTAATACACAACCAAAATGTTCATGTCGGTGATGATGTACAAAAGTAGAGACGGGGCTGAGGCTCCTTTGAAAGCTGCGCTCTGAGTCATTCTCTTTCCCATACTAGCTTGTTCCATAGAAAGCTCTGTAGGCACAGGAGAAGGGTATACAGTACCTGGGGTGTGTGGAGATGTTACATTTTGTAGTGTTGCCAACTCTCATGATTTTATTGCAAATCTCATGATATTTGCTATTTTTCCTAAAGCTCCAGCTCCTATGGTCATGGGATTATAGGAGAAGTGTTGCCAGCTCCTGCGATTTGATTGCAAGTCATATGATACTTGCTTTTCTTAAAGTCCCATCTCCTGGAGTCATGTTTTTACATGAGATTCTCAGCTTTTATTTTTTAAAAAAATTAAATCTCTAGCCTGTGGAGAAAAACTTGAAAACACAACCCCTAAAGGCTCAAACACCAAGAGATAAGCACAACAAACCTCAAAATTATTTATTTATTTAAAAATTCTCTCTTTTGGGGATGGGGGGGAGCTTGACTCTTAGTTTTTTAACCCTTGGGGTTGGCAATACTGATATTGTGTGTTTTGTAGAGTATACGTGTTGTGTGCTGTGTCATTCTCAGCACTGTGTATGTTGGGGTGACTTGTGTACATGGGTGTTTGCTGTTTGTGCGACTTTCTTAGCATATGTATCTGGTAAGGGGTGTCTCTTGTGCTCACTCTCTGAAGTGTGTATTTGGGGTGTGTCTCTTCACTGGAGGTGGACTTTAGCCTAGGAGTGGCAGCTTAAGGGACTAGTTTCCAGAGGTACCAAAACTTGTTGATACACACTGGGGGCTGCAGAGAATGAGCTGTAGGGGAACCATGGATGGGGAATGACTAACTCAGGAGCTGTGTCTGTGTCTTCGTGATTCAGAGCGCAGCTGTCTCTGAAGCATACTTCTGAGAGGGGAACTAGGACAAAGGTGACTTTCCCTTTGCCTGATCACAGTGCTATCAGTGCTACAGATGCCATGTGATGAAGTGGAAAGTAAAGGCTGCTCTCCTTTGTACCCTCCACGTAAATTACACCTGGTACTGGTAATAGCCAGGAAACTGGGATTTCATGTTTAAAGGTACCACCATTTTCATTCTAACTCTAACGAAGAGAAAAAAAGACCTTTTTCTGTGTGCGCAGAAAGGGGATGAGAGAGCCCCTCTTTCACTTCCTATATGCCCCATATATATAGAGAGAGAACTACTCCCACAGGTCTGTTCACCACCTGCCATAGCCTAGTGTGGTGATATCTAAGCTCAAGGCAGCTTGGCTGGCACAGAGAATGACATCTATTCACTGTTGGCTACCATTGTAAATACTTTTGCCAGCATTGGGCCCATGAACCATCCTGAGTCCGCCCCCCTCGATATGTTTTCAACCTGCGTCACCTGACAGCAATGTTTTCCTAGGATGATGCCTTTTGAAAGTCAAAACATGAAGATGGATTTTGGGGTAGGGGAGGGGTTAACTTGATCCTAAAGCTGCTAAGTCCAAAGGTTTCATTTTCTCCATTTTAAATAAAAATGACCTCTTTATAAGAACTCCCTTCTGCCTCTTCACAGTAGCTGCTCTCATTTCCCCTTATTCTGCGCCTTGTTCATGTGAACAGCGTCTCTAATGGAAAAAGAGATTGGACAAAAGAACCTCTGGACCCCCCAGCAACAATTAAGAATTTCATTAAAATACAAGAGGCCAGTTATTGCTGGCTCATTATTACGTTATAATAATTGCTAATTGTCTTATTAGCATTTGACAATTATGCAAATAATGAAAAACATTTCATAAAAGTAATAAAATTGCCCTTTTTTTACATCAATAGTTTTAACATCTAAAGCAATCATGATTTTGCTCTCCAGGGTTTATTGGAAATGCCTTTAAAGGGGAGATAAACCTCTAACGATGCCATCCGCAGAACAGGGTTGAGATTGGGTAGGGCACACAGAGGTCTGGTCTACACTACAGACCTTTATTGGTATAACTACATCGCTCAGGGGTGTGAAAAATCCACCCCCTGAGTGACATCGTTATACTGACTGAACCCCCGCGTAGGCAGCTCTGTCGGCAGAGAAGCTCTCGGGGTGGTGGATTAACTGTGCTGATGGGGAAAGCGCTCTCCCGTCGGCTTAGAGCGTCGTCTTTAAGTGCTACAGCTGCATCCGTACAGCGGTGCCGATGCAGCATTTTAAGTGTAGACGTGTCCTGAGCTATGTGAATTTCCGCTCTCAGTGCGAGGACTCTTTGCCTTCCACTTCCAAAGGAACTGTCTGGTTCATGGCACATGTTGGTAAAATGTCATTTTTCCTTTTTTGAGACCAAGAGAAAGTATTCGGGCACTAGCCTAGGACTTGGGGCAATGGCATTCAGGCTACTGCTCCATCACAGGCTTTCTCCCATGTGACACTGGGCCTTCTCTAACTTGAGGTGAGCACTTAGTGAAGACCAGGAAGTTGGTAATTTCCACATGAGTTAGCTGGTTAATGTAAAGGCTGGGGGCCTGATTTTCAAAGGTATTTAGGTGCTTAAGTATCCAGGATTTTACCTTGGGTTATGAACATGCCTTTCTTTCATAGTGAAGACAAGGCCTGAGTAGGGTTTGCCAACTTTGTAATATTTAAAATCGGGACACTCCAGCAGAAGTGCCAGAACCTCTCCTTCCCGCCTGGGGTGACTAGGTGTCCCAATTTTATAGGGATGGCCCCAATATTCTGGGCTTTGTCTTATATAGGTGCCTATTACCCCCTCCCTATCCCGTGTCCTGATTTTTCACACTTGCTGTCTGGTCACCCTATTCTCACCCCTGCCCTGAGGCCCTGCCCCCATTCGCTCCTCTTTTCCCCTGCTCCAATTGCTTTTACTCTTCCCCTTTCTCCCCCACCTCTGCCCATGTCAGGAGGGACTTGCCTGCGAAGCCAGGGCTGGGAGCTGCACCTGCCCGACGCAGGTAGAAGGTGGCCCTGGCTGAGTAGGGGCTGGCGTGGGTGATGACTTGATGCCTCCCTGCCTGCAGTAACTGGACTTTGGGTGTCTGGTCAGTAGATCTAATCGGACCCCGTCAGGTCCCCTTTTGACCAGACTCCTGACTACCCTAGGCCTGAGGCTCAGATCCTTAGGTGTATAGCTCCCACTGAGGTGCCCTAGATACCACTGAGGATCTAGGCCTAAGTGTATCTGTGCCTCTGTTCTCCATCTGTACAATGGAGATAATAGCATTTCCCCACCTCACCAGGGGGTCCTGAGGATAAATACCTTACAGGGTGCTCAGAGATAATGCGGCCAGATAAGTTGATAGATGTCCCTTGTGCTTTTCCCTGCCAGGAAAGACAGGACTTCCCTAGAAATTTCTGGATTGTAGTTTAGAGCTAGGGTTGATGCAAGGTACTGGATCTGATCTCTTGCTAATTGGGTATGGTGGGGATTTATCCATCTATTAAATGCAATAGACTGAAAGAGGTCAATAGAAAAAGGCTTTTCGAGTGGACCTCAACTCCAGGGCTTTCTGTTATACTTGTCTTTCTAAACGATAGACTCTAGCTTAACAGAGTTATGGGCTGGATGCAGGAACCACTTGGTGATATCTTATGACCTGGCAGGAGGTCAGACTGGAGGATTGTAACAGGCCCTTCTGGCCTTAAACAAGCATGAATATATGATTAATCATCATTTCACTGTGATTCTGTGGTCTGGCTATTTTTGGCTTGGATTTGCTGATGTTTTGATTTGATGTATTTTTCATTAGTAACCTAGATGATGCCTGGATATTTAAATCTGAATAAAAATGTCAAAATCATGCTTGTTTGCAGTGTTGTTGTAGCCGTGTTGGTCCCAGGATAAGGGAGAAACAAGGTAGGGGAGATGAAATCTTTTATTGAACCAAACTTCTGTTGGAAGAGACAAGCTTTTGAGCTCCATGGAGCTGAAGAAGGCCTGAAGAAGAGCTCTATGGATCTCGAAAGCTTCTCTCTTTCACCAACAGGAGCTTGTCCAATAAAAGATATTACCTCACCCACCTTGTCTCTCTAAAATCATGCTTGGCATTGGACAGGACCCAAGATGATGGCAGTTCCTGCCTTGAAGAGTTGACAATCGAATACCAGTAAATGAAATTTAACTTGAATATCTCTGCACTTGGCTCATTTTCCTTCCCCGGTCTATTTCCACAACGCAGAGTTCCCAGTATTGCCACAGCTCCATTCGCCTTCCAGCTGGAAAAGCAAAATGGATAATTCATTCTAAAGCTGGTGTCAATGCCGCTAGATGAATGCATCAGGGGCACGCGGTATTTGTAAAGAGGTGAGTTTTCCCAGTTCTTCTAGAGGTTGCCAGTCCACTCTTCCCGGCACTGTGCTGCTGGCACAGTGTTAGGTTTAGAAATAATTCGTTTCATACTTTGGCTTCCAACTTGGAGGTTTGTAGAGAAAAGAACATGGGGAGAAAATGGCTAAAGCTGGTATTATGCCAGTTACATGATGGTCTCCTAGGCAGCCACAGACTGGAGACCAGGAAATCCTGATGTCTACCGATGGCTCTGCTGCTGACGTGCTGGGAGAGAGACAAGGAGGGTGAGGTCATATCTTTTATTTGACCAAC